ACGATTTATCTTAACAGGAAGTGGGCTGCAAAACAAAAACCAGGGCCAGAAGTCAGATCAAATTTGTTTGATCTTCTAGCATTTATCAAATAAAAAGGCTTCAATTTACGTGTTTACTTTCAACAGCTTATATTAGCGAATTTGTCGCTTAATTACTGCAGTAAACACCATTAGAAGGCTGATGTGTTTTCTCTATAAACAGTTGCTAGCCCAAATGACTTATTTGATTTATTATTGGTTTTTTGATCTATTTATTTGTATCGGAAATGGAGAACATTAGGTTAAACCACATCGCCTTGTGCAACCTTGCTTACATGTTTGAAAAAATTTTTGTTCATTGGACATAGTACGTCAGTGGGTGTCCAGATCCTTCCATAATCTAAAAACATCTCAAAACATTTTACAATTTTTTAGTAGAACTTATTTGCAATTTATAAACAAAGGTCTGTTCGTTTTTTCTCCAAATATGCAAAGAAACGCCGGCTTTTTCCGCTTAGTAGTTTCCAAAAAGAAACTAACATAAGAGTCACTGGCTCCGCAGTTGTGCGTTAACCAAACATCACAACCTCGTTTGATCGGAACGAATTTTGCGCATTGTGCATGTATCCATGGTGCGCCGTACAAGAGGATTACAACACAGGTTTTTTATAGACGTCAGATTTTTTTACGTGCACCGTATACTGCTTTTGAAGTTGTAATCCTCACTTACTTTCGAGGTGCTCAGAGAATTGTGACTCTTGCAATACTTTTCAATTACTTTACGCGATAATCTTAGGTGCTGTCATAAAAGTTAAAGATCATGACAGAGTAAAAGGATGCTATATACATCGAATTTCTTTCGTGAGAATCAATCAACACACTAAGCTCACACATGTGCTGTTCCGCCAATTTTGGGAAAAAACAATGCCAGCTATAGACACAGCATACTATAGCACACAAGTTAAACATCTATATATATGAGCGGAGAGTATAAACTGATGTTTTTATTAGAAGAGTCGTTCTATGCAATTATGACCAGTCCCTCAGTAACATTTTCACACCAAAGCCGGTGATATTATAATATACTTGCACTCTGCAATTTTATTAATTGATGCTAAATCTTATCGAAATAGTAGTCATGGAATAGCGATTTGGATGTGAGGTACACAACCTTTGATATCGGCATCCCTCGTGATTGGTCAACTCGGCGTCCAGGTCTTAGGAATCGGTCATACCTCGTCGCTCTCTGAAAGCAAGAGTTGGCATGTGTACGCATAAGCTTACAAAAGCTATGCGCGTATGTACTTGGATTTCAAGCGCGGTGGATTTCAGAGATCTGGTAAATTGTCAGATCGCGCATCGCCGCGATTTTGGAGAAATCGTTCGAGGTATATTCGAGGCCTTAGCGGTGTCCCCGCGATGCGACAGCATCGCGCGCAAGCGGTTCAGAGGGCTTAGGGCTAAGGCATACCTCACGCGATTCGGCCAAATCGCCACTTTTGGCGATTTGCCAGATTTCTACAAATTTATCGTGCACGCTTCTCGAACGCATATTTGGGTAGCATGTGTAAGTTGTTGCAAACCGAGCAAGTTCTGACCGAAGGCAACGCATTAACGACGATTTACGAAGAGTCGCTGTTGTGCCAAATCGCGCAGCGACCGGAATCGCGCGAAGTATATCTTAGGCCTTAAACCCTATCCATCTTTGAGCATTGTACATTGCCAATGTTCTTTTCTCTGTTTCTTTGGCAATTTCTTGCTAATAAGGAATTTTCATTGGATGAATTGGCTATTAAAAGTAAGAATCGTTATTCTTAGTAGCGAATGCCATTCGATTTAGACGTGCTCTGTACATATGAAACATTCTTGAAACATTGTGAGATCACAGAAGAAATGCAAAACATATCGATGTCAAAAAGTCGAACTTGTGACTTTCTATGCATCAGAGAAGAACACTTTCACTGCTCCTTTAAGGCCTAAGACATACTTCGCGCGATTCCGGTCGCTGCGCGATTTGGCACAACAGCGACTCTTCGTAAATCGTCGTTAATGCGTTGCCTTCGGTCAGAACTTGCTCGGTTTGCAACAACTTACACATGCTACCCAAATATGCGTCCGAGAAGCGTGCACGATAAATTTGTAGAAATCTGGCAAATCGCCAAAAGTGGCGATTCGGCCGAATCGCGTGAGGTATGCCTTAGGCCTAACGAAACATCACTGCCGTAGTGCTCCTAAGCCATATGGTCACTTGTAAGATCTTTCCGAAAGTTGCTCCGATAAGATAATTTCGGGTAAAAGTTTTGAGCCCAATCAACATATTTTCACGTCAAATGGTAAATTTCACTAGTAGTAATTTTCCTGTAAATTTTTGAACAATCCAGCAATCCTCTGAATCTGCCTTCCCCGTTGGTTCTATCTCCTTCAATCTTTGCGCTTGTTCCATCTCCCTCCTCTGTCTGCAGCTCTAATCCTTGCCAGTAGCCGCTCGCCGGCAAAGATAAGAGAGTCCATCGGGAGACTCTGACTGGTGCGCGCGGTTGCGCGTGCCTCCCCTATCCAACCCACCATCACGCCATTTCGTTATTGCACGGCCAGCTCCGCCCACATTGCCGCATCCTCGCACGTCAGTGACCCAGCAGTCTCTAGTTCACTGTTCTGTTTTAATCTTCGCAACCTCTGCGCTTATTCTGTAACCTCGTTTCTTACACATAACGAAGCAGTTTGTACCATAAACAATGTGCTAGAGCGATAGTGCATTAATGAAGCTACTGCTGCTCCCTTTCACACGACTACTATTTGCTTCAGTCGAATTGTATAGGCAGGTAAAACCTCTGGAAAATAGCTATAATTCTTCTGTTCATATGAGCTCCCTAACTCGGAAAATCTGACAGGCTCTAACTCTAAAATTCTAAGGACTTAGACAAGTAAGAAATTCTTGCAACTCTAATAAGCTAGAAACTCTAAGAAGTTCAAACTTGTTCTTCGTCTAATTTGTTGCAGAAATTCACACAGGGCGAAATACATTGCAATTATATACTCGCTAATTTTGCGCAACGTTGTTTTTTTGATCTCAGAATAGCTAGAAAAATTTTTATATTTGTGAACACGAACTTGTTTAATTCATTTTTCTCAAAGTTTATACGTAACCTGCGTTCCGCTACATCAGAAGTTGAACAATCCTCCACGTCTTTCATTTCGAGACTGCAATTATCTTGCAGTATCAGTCGTAATGTTTCCTCTACTAGAAGCTTTTCTTTACCACTTGTCATGTTCCATACCATTTGATCTGTTGGCAGTCGTTTGTACATTATGTAATCTCAATATTGATTGATGTCTTGTGTAAGTGCTACTTTTTATGGTTTGCCTAAGCAACTGAAATGCAAAAAGTATAAGGCTCTTTTTCTACTTTTGCATTCGTCTTCGTGTCACTTCTCAGTGGATTTCTACTCTTTTCTCAATTACGATAGTGACTCTGGGCAATCGGCTTACTGTTGGCAGATTGCAAAAACTACAAAAAGCGACTGCTGAAATGAAGACGACTCAGAAATCCTATGTCCAAACATTTGTAGGCAATATAGTGTTTCCTAAAAATTATGCACACTGTTATCGTAAAACCTTTTCGCTTCAATGTCTTTAGCCAATTTTGAGTGACATTTTATAGAGCTTTCGTGCTTGAATGTCGATAAAACTTGGCGTTGTGATTCAAACTGTAGTACAGTTAGCTGTCGACCAAGGTATGTTCACTCAGTATGAGTATCACTCATACTCACTCATAACGCAGCTGCAGCGCAGTATTGGCTATTCGATCTCTATATCCCGATCTGGCAAGGCTGAGGAAGTCCTGAAGAAGGCGGACGGACCGCCGAAACCTTGGGTTATCGTTTGATAAAGTCTTGCTGCCAACCTTGGTCGACAGCTCAAAAACTGTACTACAATTCTATAGAGCTTCCTACAAATTAGAATTTACACCTGAACTGAATCACAATCGCTCTCCATTACTCTAGGATCACGAAGGAAACTTTGAAGAGAACTTTGAGCCATTAAGAGCCCCATTTTGCCACAGGTGACCAAACATCCTCAGATCTCTTACATAAGGTGAATGCGTACCTAAATACCTGTTATAATGTAAATTTCTATTATAAGTTGTGTGAAGTATACCATGATAATGTACATAATAATTATACCATGTTTTGTCAATGTTCATGAAGAATGTGATTACATTATGTGGAATTTTCGGTAACTTGTGAAGTTAGTGGAATTAGCATGCGTGACAACCTTGATGCAACTTTCCAAATTCCTGTATTTTCAAAGAGGCAACTCAGAGTGCACATTTTTGAACACACGGTATTGTCTAGCCTTGAAAAATCACTCTAGACGAAAATGAAATCAGGTCGAATTTTTTCGCGAATACAGTTGCACTTCGATTGCTAGCTTGTTCTCTATGTGACAATTACTTCTAATGTCTGCTTTCCTTGCCTTGTAGTAACTGTGCTAGAAAATCTTTGCTTCAATTGATTTGTAGTATCATCGGAAGTAGCAAAAGAATTGGCGCAATCAACTCTCAAGCCGAACTGTGCGTGCTTTGAGAAGAAGAGGTTAATGAATTCTTTTGAGGACACAGCATATTGATGGTTTATCTTAGTGAGAAAATTTTTTGGGATGCTTCTCAAAATTTGCTGGCCCATAACCTCGAGGTTTTAGACGCATATTAAATAAATTAAACTGGTTAATTCTAAGAACTCTACCATAAAAGTTGCAACGCTGTCATCTACCATTTAAGGCAAATCGGAAAACACGAATCTGACATTGTCTGCTCTAATCAGATTAGCGATTTTGAAGTTGATGTAATGGCCGGCTGTTTTTGCTGCACTAAGCCCTCATTCTGTTCAACTGAAAATTCGTCGTATATACAATCTGCATGGAATGTTTATGGGAGGCCCATCTCCACAAAAAAGAGATGCACCTCTATAACTTATCGATATAATAGCACCTTATAACCTATCGATATGATCAATTTTTAGTGATGGAGGAAGTGGTACTAATCGAACAGCCTCAACCTGGCCATGTCATCAAAACGCGACCGTATCGGCTGTCGTGTAAAGCGTTGAATGCGCGTAAAATTCGATTCAAGTGCAACAGCAACTGGGTAAGTTTTTCCAAAAAAATTTCAAACTGTGTTCAATTGTCTGTGTCAGTGCCGATTCAGAGCCTACCACCGCCGTGTCAGAGCCGTGCCAGCGTTAGTCCAGCCCTGTCTTGTACGAGGCGGGGTTCCACGTAAGCATTGGCACGGCACTGGTCCAACCTTGGAATACTGCAATCTTGACTCAACCTCAGTATCCCTCTATTCTCCTATCTACTGCAAACCAATCTTGCATTTCGTTTTTTATGCACATTTGATCAGAATTCCATTGCAACAAAGAACCGCTCTGTGCTCAACTTCTACATTTCTTTCTCTGCAGCATTTTTTCCAAGCGTCTTTTGCTATTGTCTTACTGCGCGATAATAAAATCCCAAGAGGAGGGCTTTGAACTGCCAAAAAAAAGCGCAGTCGGCGCCTGCGCTAGGATGTTACAGCGCATCATCTATCTCGTAATACTGCAGACGTTAAGAGCGTCAAAAGTATTATATCCACTAGAAATACTCAGCGAGACTCGGCTAAGAATGTTTTACAGAAAAACATCTCTATGTTGCTGATTTCGATCAACATGTCATCCGATCAATGCAAATTCGCGACTCAAAAATCTTCTGACTTGAGAGAAAAGTTTGGCCACATTGCTGCTCTTTGACTTCGAAGCATCATAATAGAAATGGAAGCAAATTTGGAAATTTTGTTCCAATATTGCAACAAATATCAAAAGTCTACAAAAATTATACACTATCCAACTCCATTTCGTTCCTTCGCATAGTCGAAGTTTCGCTGGAACTCCCAAGGAAGATGAGCCCGCGAGATCCAACTTATATTTTTCGATTTCTACCTAAGTACTGTACAATTTCTGAAATCGAGTGTTGAGATAGTTATAAACAATTTACAGAATGAGTAATTTTTGAACATGCATACAAAGTGTCTAAAAAAATGTGCACACTGTTTGATCGTTAATAACTCTCTTGCTTTCATGTCTTTTGCAGAGCTTGAGGTGCCATTCTGTAGGGCGAGGATAAACCGTTAGATTTACAGTGTGGACCGAATTACCAATCACTCTTCGTTACTGTAGGATCACGGTATGAACTTCCAGCACACAGCGTCACTGTGGGATAAGCCTTTTGATGAAATAATTTCGAAAAAAATCTAAAAATTTGTGTGGCAAGGTTTTCAACTTGCTGATTTCACTACAAAAGTTTTCACCAGTTTTTCGAGCTTTCTTGATGGCGTACTCACATTTCCGACAAACACACGGAAAACAGTTGTTACCCTAAATCCGAAATAACTCATGAGAGAAGCACTATACCGAGATGCAAATTCATATTCAGAATTCGCGACTTTGATTAGCACAGTTCAGGAGTTTCTGGCTTGCTTGGCTTTCTTTCTGAGGTAAAATACCGCTTTCAATGGCTTAGGATCCTCCTCGAAATTCCTACGGTAATCCCATAGTAATGAAGAGCTGCTGATAAGTCGCTCCATACTGTAAATCCAAGTTGAACCTTCTTCTAAGGAATGGTACCTCAAGCTCAGCAAAAGACGTGAAAGCAAGAGAGTTGTTAATAATCACAGTGTGCACATCTTTTTGGGACGCCTTGTATATAAAATACAGCCATATTGCAATGAAACATGTTTTTGTTTTAAAAACAGAAGTAATTGTTATGATAATTTTTATCCGTCCCCCTCTCGACTCTCATTTATGGACAGTGTAAGCGAACTGTTCAAAAATTGCTGTGTAAGCAACCATGCAAAGACATTCAGGTTCAAAGCGCAAGTCTTTCCTATCACTCGCAGAATAAAGAAAATTGTTTTGCCTTTCAAAGTATAACAATCAATAATGTGAGACTTCAAATCATTACATCTCAATGGCATGCGAATCACTATCACCTCGACCGTTCCGGTCCAACCACTCTTATATTGAGGGAACGTTTCTAGATTTTCTTTGAAATATTATCTCCATTTTCATCATGTGGAAGGGAGAGGCTTTTCCCCAAACATCTTGCACATGAAAATCATTCAACTATCAAATTATCATTATTATCAAAAGGCACTAAACCACCGCAATGTTTCATGTTAGCAATGATGCTTTCCCGAATCCGCTGAGAAGAAGAACGACGATGAAGAAGTGTGAGATTTCTAAGGAAACAATGGAGTCTAAGTACTGTTACAAAGTTACACTGACATTGCTGTAACTCATGTTTGTGAAGGTGAAAATATTGTAAATGGTAGCATATTTGTTTTCTCATATATCTGGAATATGGGACTTCGGCGAAGTTTCCCAGATTTTTTCAAAGGAGTACGGAACAAATAAGGAGAAAATGTAACGAGACCTATGTTCTAACCTAATGTAGAATCGAGTTGGGTAAGCTCACTTACTCCATTATAGTGTAAGTTAAGAGCTATTGTTCAATGTAAAGAGCAATTCGTAGATTGCTATCATTTGAAGGACAATGTCCGTGTAATGAGTGCTCATCAGGGCGCTTTCATTGGCGTAGCAACTACTTGAAAAAAAAACCCTAGGCACTTTTTGTCATTTTTGTGGTTGAAGATGGTGAGAGTGAGGGAGGTAAGAGAAGCAGTGAACTTCATCAAAGTTTAGCGGTCATAGAAATGGGCGAGGGAAGGGGTGGTAAGGATGAGAACTTGAGCACCATAAGCGAGCTGCTAACACACGACACATGCTAGTTTCACTCAAAATTCCTCAAGAATTCATTCCTGCTTTTCCTATCAATGTACTAGGCACAACATTCTTCGTAATTTTTCGAAAGGGCAAACAAAATGCTGCTCCTACTTGATTAAAGCCTGTATCACTCACATTTTAGAATTTCTACCTGACGTGGAGAAGACTGTGATAGAAATTTTTTTTCAGCTCGATGAAACTAGATACGAAAGTACGCTTGGCACGGATCCTAGCACACAACTTCCGTATATGCTTGGAAGCGTAGAGATCACGAAGCAAGAGGTGGAAGTTGGAGCACATTCTGAAGTTTTCACATGTCAATGTTACGCCTCCGGAGCAAGCGATTTGCATGTAATACGATCGGACCCGGCCCGCATACGAATCGCATGTGAGTTTATAGTTTGATATTACCTCGTCGATTTTTTTTGTTTTCATCACAGCTATGTCTTTCACGTTTTCTGCTGCATACCCACAATTTGGAATCATTCACTTTACTTAACAATGTTGATGCGTGCATCAAGCTTTGCGTGGCTGGCACGGTAGTACGACTATTCGAAGTGGTCTTTTGAAAGGAGAGGAGTACTACCGAGTGCCATTTACAGTTATAATATCCGTATCTGTTGTAAGCTCCATTCAACGCTGGAATCGCACATAAAACGCAAATTGCTGGATGGCGAAAGGACTCGAACTTGTGACCCTCCACGCAACAAACGAGAAAATGCAAATTCAAGCATCAACTTTCACATAGGAACATGGTTGAACTTGTGACTGAACTTATCCTTTGGAAAGTTGCAAGTGAAGATTGCATTTATTATTAAAATTATTACCGACTATTATTTATTATTTATTACCGACTTCGGCAAAATGAGCCGTTTCGATCAAAGCATTTCCCTTGCGAGTTGCATATGGTTGCGCCAAACTGTTTACTCTTCTGATTCGGTTGTTTTCGTCCTCCATGGATAGTCGGATAAAGTGACACAGGTCGTTGCCGCTATGACCACAATTTATCGTTCCGACCTAAGTCGCGTACGCGACTGTGCGTCTGATCATTCGAGCGTCTGATTAATGGACGTCGCTCGAGGGACATCAAGATTTACGGCCACAAAACTGTCACGCTTCTGCGCTTCTTATCGGCTAAGCTATCTTATGCTAATCGAACTCCCTTATCATATAGAAGCTGTAGGCACCAGCAACTTTTTATGTATATTACAACAATACTCAGCTGCATATACGCAAATCAATTTAGCATAATTCAAAGTTTGTAAAGACTCGTATAGGTCATCGTTTGCAAAAGGTCATTGTTGAAGCTTCATGATACTACTGCAGATCAAAGTGCTTGGGCAGATATGATGAGCCTATGTTCGATTGCAGCATTTGGCCGATGCAGCATATGGGGGGGGGGGGGGAGAGAATATCACCAGAGTTGAGCAAGAGCTCAGGCACAAGTCTTCTGAAAAAGACCCCTCCCCTTCTGAAAGCCCCAAACGACTCCCTTCTTCCTCCTTTTCACCTCCGGGACCTCAGAGAGCAACATTTTGGAGGACACCATCCTTTTCTAAAGAGTTCTTGGATTTTTGCTTTACGATTTTTGCTGTATTTTTGCTGTTATCAGAATAACATTTGTTCCGCTCTCTTGCATCATACGAGCTTGTCTCAATTTCTAAAATAGATCTCAGGCCTTTATTTAGACGACTTTTTTGGAACCGGACCTAAGGAAAAATGAGATTGACATCTGCTGGCGGCAAGGTGGCAAAAGGTCTTGCACTACAGCAAAAAATATGTCATCAGCTGAATTTCGATGAAAAATTGATCATTTTCTGGTTTAGCTACAAATTCAAGAAACAACATAATATTTTACGAAACTAGGCCTAATATCCTCACCTAGCTCGCAACAGTTCCACTTTGCTATCTCATCATATTTTGTTTGGCTTTCATCCTCGGAAGGTGAGCAGCATATCATTTAACATGGACCTGTCAGCAATAAAAGGCAGTGTCTCAGCAATATTGGGGTTTTGCGGTTCTCCACATATTTTATTGAAGGACCCCGTCAACAGGCGAACGCTCCAAGGTCCCACTCGATATGGGCCCTTCTATTCCGAGAAATTTGCCCTCAAAGTGGTCCGCAAGGCGCGATGCCCTCGCGGCCGACGCTCCAGGTTTCGCCCTTACGCATTCCGACATGTCCCTCCAATTGAATTCCACTTCCAAGGTGCTGCTGCCACCGTGGCTAAGGCTAGACTGAGAAGGCACAACTCGTCCGCGTTGCTTCCACGGGCTTAACGGGGTTTTCGTGCATTTTTTGCGATCTTGGACCCTTGTCGTAACCAGGGACGAAAAGGCTTGCAATATGATATAATAAATCTCGACAACCAAATTTTGGTGAGACACTGCCTTCAACGTTTTGTCGCTAGTCGTCGTTTGCACCGTCAAGCAGAGTGATATGGTGTCTGTCAGACTGAATGACTGATAGCCTAGATGCACCTAATGCATAAAATTAACAATCACGTTGATAGTTTTGGTTCTCTTCAAATGAGTCTTGCAACAAGCACTCTTTGAAGGTCTTATGTAGTAATAATGAGACAAATCAACTCAAACAGACTGTAACACGCGCTTTTGTTGTACAAAGGAGAAGTGCTAACGACATCAATAACATAGGAAAAGAACTGAGCAGAGTTAGCTTAAAAACCGAAAGTTACTCCCTGACAAGGAAAGGAAGGTTGGTCAAAGTGGCCTTTTGAAAAGGGATGTATACTATCTTGTAGAGCTTGGAGCGCTGATTCCAAATCTGCCTTCGCTATCTGCTGCGAGCTTCTGGGCGAGGAGTTATGAAGGTTTATGTGATTAAAATGTTGATTGCAAGACTAGTGTAAAATCAGTCGTATCATTTTTTTTAGGGCTTAACTGGTAATCGAGTCACTCAGTGCAACAAATATTCTTGTTTAAAATATACTCGCTGCTGCCTCATTTGAATATTAGGAAAGTTACGACTGATTATATAGTAATTGTGCACTGAAGTTTTTACTCACGAAAAACCTTTATAACTCCTCGCCCAGAAGCCCGCAGCAGATAACATGTGCGGATTTGGAGTCAGCGTTCCAAGCTCTACAAGTCTGTATACATCACATCTTAAAAGGCCACTTCGACGAATCTTCCTTCCCTTGTGAGAAGATTACCTCTCGTAGATGAGTCCGCTTTTTGGAAGCTTCAATTTTATATTTAAATCATGTAGTTTCTGCTTAAAACAATGGGGTTTTTTGTACTACTTCAGTGCTTTCGAGGAGCGCTTTTCAGTGCCGCCAAACTTGTCCACCTGCTCCTGTTTTTTAGAAATTGTGATCTCCCAGACACAGCACTGCTGATGCAGTGTTTTCCTCTCCAGCCCTTTTCGTACAGCAAAGATTCGTCACCTTTTTCATATTATTCGAAGACGCTTCAAATGTGTTGAGTGATGCATGATGCACAACAAACCTCATACTAGTAATTTATGGAAAAATCAGATCATTGCGGACTTACCTGTAGGCATATTTCATAGATTTTGAGATAATCAATGTCATAATCTCGGCATGTTTCCCTTTCATGATAACGACACAACTTCTTTGATCGCATGTTGTCCTTGCGGCCGTCTAGAGAACCTCCAAAACCGCCGAACTTGCATAAGATGGCTGGGGCCATGCGAACGCATATGAACCGTCGCTTCAGCAACCGACCAGCAGCCATTTCGTCAAAACTTTGAGTTCAACTTGGTAATCCACCTCATTACTTCAAGCTGCTTTGATGAGGCTTGAACCCGAAGCCTAGATATATGCATTTGTGAAAAACTATGTCATAACCACGTCACACGGCATCAAATAGTAATAAGGCGACAGAACAGATGTTCGTCACAGTGTTGACTCAATGTCGAATACGACGTAGGAGGGTAAGGGTGCGGAAAGAAATATGTATGTAGCAGTGGCGGTATGCGGGGGGGGGGGGGGAAGCGGGGGGCTCAAATGGGTGGCGAAAATTTGAAATTTGCTTACATGAGTTATAAAAATGTGCAAGTGACTTGCTTAATCTTGTAAAAAAATTAAATTAATTTTTAATTCAAACCAACCTTGCAAAAAAATTTTTTCGGGGGCGTGGCTGCCGCCATAGATTGTGGGCCCGCAAAAATTTGAGAAGCACCCAAAAAATTTTTCGGAGTGCGCGGCTAACGCACCTTCATTTAAAAAAAATTTTTTTTGCCGCCTCCCCTCCCCCCCCCCCCCTCCCCCGGACGGAATTCCTGCGACCGCCACTGCTATCTAGTGAAATGAATACGAAATACTTATGTACTATCTATTGTGTGTTTATATCTCGCATATCAATTTTTTCGCATGGAACTTGAAATCTCAAATATCAAACTCAAAATAATGATGTCATTGATTCAAATCACTTTTTCAATATATATCACCATTTGCTTCAATTCTTGTTTTCACCTTGTAAGGATTCGGCCATCATTACCCTTTCCTTGAATGCTTATCTTATATATAAAGCTGAATGTCTGTTTGTCTGTCTGTCTGTCTGTCTGTATGTCTGTCTGTCTGTATGTCTGTACGTATGTTCCGAATAGAAAATTTCATTTCTAAACCGATCCGGACCAAACTTGGCACACATACACTACGGGCCCCGGCGGGTGTCATAGGCTACTTTTCGTCATCGATCGATATCGATTTTATCGATTTTTATCGATTTTTTTGCTGAGTGCACCTACGGGGCTGGGAGTTGGCACAGGGGGGTAATCGAGCATGGGGATTCCGAATACAATATTGGTTTTCAGGATTATCGATTACTTTTATCGATTTTATCGATTTTTTTGCAAAGTTTGAGCTACGGGGCTGGGAGTTGGCACAGGGGGGTAATCGAGCATGGGGATTCCGAATACAATATTGGTTTTCAGGATTATCGATTACTTTTATCGATTTTATCGATTTTTTTGCAAAGTTTGAGCTACGGGGCTGGGAGTTCGCACAGGGGGGTAATCGAGCATGGGGATTCCGAATACAATATTGGTTTTCAGGATTATCGATTACTTTTATCGATTTTATCGATTTTTTTGCAAAGTTTGAGCTAGGGGGCTGGGAGTTGGCACAGGGGGGTAATCGAGCATGCTGATCATCCCCAAGGGGGGTGATCAGCATGCTCGAACACCCCTGTGCCAAATTCCAGCCCCCTAGCTCAAATTTTCAAAAAATCGATAAAATCGATAAAAGTAATGGACGATCTTGAAAACTAATATTGTATTCGTAATCTGCATGCTCGATTACCCTCTGTGCAAACTCCCAGCCCCGCAGGTCAAACTTTGCAAAAAAATCGATAAAATCGATAAAAGTAATGGACGATCCTGAAAACTAATATTGTATTCGGAATCCCCATGCTCACTTCCCCCCTGTGCCAACTCCTAGCCCTGTAGGTGAACTCTGCCAAAAAATCGATAAAATCAATAAAAGCAATCGATAATTCTGAAAACTAATATTGTATTCGGAATCCCCATGCTCACTTCCCCCCTGTGCCAACTCCTAGCCCTGTAGGTGAACTCTGCAAAGAAAATGATAAAAATCGGTAAAATCGACATCGATCGATAACGAAAAGTGGACTGTGACACCCGCCGGGGCCCGAAGTGTATGTGTGCCAAGTTTGGTCCGGATACGGCGGAGCCGGGTAAGCCAGCTAGTGTTTTTAATATTTTTGAAGAAAAGTGCTTTTTTGAGCATTTGATTTACGCTGGCGTTGATACCGCGAGTGTAGCAATTAGTGCGCGAGCATTATAGAAATTCAGTAAAGAGTCCTACACGGACTTTCTTTGTCTTGGTGGTATATACCTAGTTGAGTCATTGTAATGTGTATTGGTACATGCCACAGCTTAAGACTTGTTCAATAAGCGCCATTCTCCAGTATTTCTCATTCTTTTTCCTCGATTGGCATAGATATGTAGGATCAAGCAAGTACGTATAAACACCTCTTGTCTTTGTGCTCCATTAAATCGTTAGATAACTTATCAATATTTAGTCATGAGGTTCGGCGCATGGTCTGGGAACTTATTTATTTATTTATTTACTAGCTGGCTTACCCGGCTCCGCCTATGTTCCGAATAGAAAATTCCATTTCTTAACCGATCCGGACCAAACTTGGTACACATACACTTCGGGCCCCGGCGGGTGCCACAGCCCACTTTTCCTTATCGATCGATGTCGATTTTATCGATTTTTTGTAAAATTTGAGCTAGGGGGCTGGAATTTGGCAGGGGGGTGTAATCGAGCATGCTGATCACCCCCACGGGGGTGATCAGCATGCTCGATTACCCCCCCCCCCCTGTGCCAACTCCCAGCCCTGTAGCTCAAATTTTGCAAAAAATCGATAAAATCAATATCGATCGATGACGAAAAGTAGCCTATGACACCCGCCGGGGCCCGAAGTGTATGTGTGCCAAGTTTGGTCCCGATCGGTTCAGAAATGGAATTTTCTATTCGGAACATACGTACAGACAGACATACAGACAGACATACAGACAGACAGACAGACAGACAAACAGACATTCAGCTTTATATATAAGATTTATTACGCACAAGGCGTGTCATAACTAGAGCAAAGTGCGAAGAACATAATCAGGAACAAATACAAATAAAAAACAAAAAAAACACCAAATAAATTAGCTCAAGTCCAGTCACCAAGTAGTTTTGAAGAAAATCAGGAGTTGAGGTTGTATAGACCAGGGCCGGTAGTAATGTGCTCGAAACTCCATGTTTGAAGCTGCGCGTTAACTCAGAGTTAACTCCGAGTTCCGTTTTGAAACTCACAGTTTCCAGTACTGCTGATTGCGGAAGTACTCGGGAGTTTCGTACTGCTACTTGCGGAGCCGCTATGATTGTTGAGGAGTTACCACACGCTTCATCGCAAAACACTCTGACCAGGTCAGGAGTCGAACTTCCGTTGCTCGGCGCGAAGTGCCTGCTACTAGACCACTAAGCCTGAGCACCATATAGGGAGTGGCGTTCTACCACCATGAGTACTCGTTGCTTACATCCTACGTGCTCAGGCACGTCAACGGCGTCAACGTCAATAAATATCATAATCGGAATTAGCATGCGAAAAACCCCCACTGCACCAAGTTTCAGACAATTTCATGATTTTCGTCCAATTACCGTATAGCTACCGTAGCCTCGCTATGTGGGCGAGTGGGAAAATATGGGCATCGGATTCGTGATCAGCACGTCGGATAACCCCGGGGCCAAAATTTTACAAAATTTCAAATTTTTGTGTTCAACGGTGCACCATGATACATGCTTGATGAAACTCGGAGCAAAATCTACCCCGGAGGACTTTTTAGCTGCACCTCTGCGTTTGCACACTATCTCACTTTCTCTAACCAAACTCGAAGTTAACTCCGAGTTTTGCGAGCCTGAAACGCGCACCAAACTCAGAGTTAACGCGCAGCTCAGCTGCGCGTTTCGTCGGTTAGCGTCCCGCGTTGAACGAGTTAGGCATTGTTTCCATACTTAGCATAAAGTACATCTTGCGCGGTATCCTGCCATATCACCCTTTCCCCAATTTGGTTTGTTTATGCAGGTTTTAATGGTCGAAAGGGCCTGTTAACTCGGAGTTAACTCTGAGTTAACTCTGAGTTTGAGCTGCGCGTTTCGACAGGTTTACTGCCAACCCAGTTATGAAGTAATCACTCGATAATTTTGGCGTAGAGACTCAATGAAGTCTGTCCCATGCCACTTGCTTGCCCGAAAAGGCGATCTTTACTATTCAGTATAAGCAAACTGGAATTAGAGGAAGCGGTATATATAGAAATCCCGCACAACCTGTTTCGGCGGAGGAGCAGAACTCCGATAGCGGAGAAAAGAGTGCATAATGCAAAAAGCTGATCGAGCCTAATAAGCTATTCTCTCTAACCGACTGAACTTGCGCGAGGAATGCCCAGTATCTTGGATGTTCAGATTCCAACGAGCATTTCGTTTGAACTGAAGACTTTAAGTTGAATTCAAGAATCGAGTTGAGCCCCGCCTTTCCATGCGTAAGTGTAGCAGCAACTGACGGTGATATAGCTCTCTCCGTGCCGTCTTATGATTGCTCAGCGAATTATAAGCCGATGAGAGAGTGATGTCGTCGTGGCCTATGCTCTAAACAAAGTATCGAATTTCATATAGCCCGATGGTCAGGTAGGATCAGCAAGCGATACCAATTCAAGCGCTGGTGAAGGATGTCCTTCTCCCCTACATGTCGCATTCCAGACTTTATCGCAAATTTGTAGACTGAGGTTGTCGTGAAGCAAGGCTTACTGTAGCCAGCTACTAGCAAACGAGTAATCATCGGACGCACTTGAGACGCCTCAATGCGCGCAATCATCTTGCAAAATGGCACGAAATCAACTTATTGCGCATTAGTCAATGTGCGCGTCGGTCCGTTTGCCGTAGTTGAGCAATTGGCTTCAACATCGACTTCTTTGATCTCGGGCCTCATTAAAGACTGAATACTTTGACGGCATTCCACAATTGAGGGAAGCAGTTGAAATTATTCCTTAGAGAGAGTGGGAGCGAAATGCGCTGACACCAGCGAATTTTGGAAACGACTTTCCCTAATATTCTAAATCTTCCTTACTCGTTCTCATTTCAATAGATATCCAGTGGAGATTCAAATTTTAGACTCGAGTAAGTACTATGAGGTAGACCACTGCACACGCTGAGGCAACCAACAATAAGACCCAGAGTTGGCGGTGCCGTGTTCTTTCGCCATCAGCCAGCTCCAGATTAAATACGAAGTCCTTTTTTGGATGTACGGCAATAACCACGACTACAAAAGTTCCTGATATCAAACCACTGAAGAGAGGCCTTCACTCATGCTGTTTAAAAACAAAATTAGAGACACATCGCTCCGATCCTCTTTTGGGATCTGATAAAGCGTGAAGCAAAGTTGCGCTAATCATTGGGGTGTGTCGATTGCAGTATGCATATCGTGTTACTTACAAATAGATGAGGAAACTATCAGCTAGCGACTTGCTGGAACTGTGTCAGATAATTTGGAAAAAGACTTGCCGCGGCTTTTTTCTTCATTTGTTTTTCTAAGCATCCCAAACATACTTCCACGCCCCTAGTGCGCCTGTGCGCACTAAATATGGTGCCATGTCTGTTGGTTGTAATAGCATCTACTCCTGTAGCACATGCATTTTTGCGCTATGCAAGATCATATGAGAGCATGTAGTACGATAACCCTGTCTAAAGCTATTCAGACGGGTGGGGAGTTTGAGAGGGAGATTTCCAACATAGAATTTGGTGCTAATGCATTTTGCAATATTTTCCAGGCTCAGCTTTAGACGTGCAAAAATCCGCTTTTAGTCTTATTTAGCATCTGCTTCCAGAAGTACTTCTTTTTAAGCATGGCCTAACTAATTTCTAACGAACGACTTTGGAAAAATGCTTTTTCCTTTTTTCAGACATGCGTAAGCATTTCGTGCAATCACCTACTTCCGATCGTGTTCCTGAGGGATCAACGGTGCAGTTGCACTGTGTAGCACCAGAAAGTGATCCAAAAGCACAGGTCAGCTTTTCTAGTCTGAAGGCGATTGCTCCGATCTTCCTTATTTTTGTCAGCAAAGGCCGCTTGCCCTGCGTGCCTCATTAGTCATTTGTTGGTTAGGGTAAACTATGGCCGTGGCAGATAGCATCAACAGGCGCAAAAACTGTCATCGGCCAATTTGCTTAACGTTGATTGAACGGACTGATAGCTTCCTGGTGTTGCAAAAAATGATAGATGTTCAGGGACTTACTGAAGAAATCTTAGAGGCTCAATTCCGAAACGTTAGCTTATTTTCTAGTATGAGGGAAAAACACATTTGAACTTTGCAAATTTAGTGATGCAGAGATAACACTGCCTCTAGTTTATCTGTGTAATTTGTCCATTTGCATTTTTCGTCTCAATTTTTTCGGTATTTCATGTGTAGTAGGGTGTATATATGTATGTTTTTAAAAGTTCCATATCTGCTTCATCAACTTATTTGCACCATTCCCACATTTTATAAAAAGTCTAATCGGCAGAAAATTATTTTTGACATCTTTTTCTCCCGAGCTTTCCCGTGAACATAAAATTCATTCAAAACATTGACCATAAACAACACAACAGGTTAGTCGTTAATCGAGGTAATCATTACTTATTCCAAAGTTGGCGGTGCAAGAGTTTTCCGGGTCGACGATCGTCGTCTCGCGTACTTAAGTTGTGTGTTCACCTAAACTTCACCAAGCAGTATGTATGCTAGAGCAATGTTATCAATTATATTTTTAGAGATGGTTCCTAAGAATCTCAAAATACTAAAAAGGCGACGTATCGTAGTTGTCGAAAATGGCATTCGCCAAAATTAGTTTTCTGCAAGTTGGAGACTCCAAATATTGCAAATCCACAGTTCAAGAAACCGAAGCAAGAAATAAGTAGGCAAGGTGTGATCTTTCAGATTCATACACTCATCACACCGAGAGCCTCACGAAATAATGAGAAAAATTCAATGAAAAAGTACAAATAAACTTACTATACACGTAATATGTGTATTCTGTTCATGTTTGCATGCTTTGTTATTTCTGACATCTCCACCACATATTTTTTTTCATTCAATAATCGATTTTTCAGAATCACTCAAGAAATTTGTTGCCTTTTATTTAGCAATGTAATGTGATTTTTGTGGCTTGTTACAGAGATCAAAATGCAATAGTTTTAGTTGACTTGGATCAAAGACGGCGTAGAATTGGAGAAAAATGTGGATTCAAATATCATTTATGCCAATGATGGAAGTCTGATCATCTCTGCAGCTCGATTGAGAGATTCTGGTAACTACACTTGTGAAGCTGCGAATATTGCAAACCGGCGAACGACAGAACCCGCTGCACTTGGTGTTTACGGTAATTTTTTATGTTGCTTAGTTCATATTTGGTTATAGGGTAAAACGTGGTAAAGTTTGTAAGGATCACGCCGGTTTAATATCTGCATCAAGTATTGGTTGCGCTTGCAGCACTAGCGTTGGAATGGCTATACACAGTGAAGTACAGAAAACTCAATTTTTTCAAAAGTCAACGATTTGGGTCCATAGACTTTTTTTTTCAGAGTATCCTTTGTAAAATGTCTAAGCCTTCACCAAGATTGGTATAACGTTTATTAGGCTAACGTTATACCAATCTTGGTGAAGGAGACATTTTACAAAGGATACTCTGAATATGCCAAGATTCACCGAAAGTCGTACATGGAATTTGACTTTTTTCAACTTTCTGTAATGTTTCCTTAACCTTTGTTTCTCCTCAATAACCCGCGACGTCAATGGTTGTTTGCTATTTTTGTACTCACCTGGTTCCTAGGTATCTGCTCGACTATCCATTACCTACTCCATTTGTTTGAACAACATGCAGGTGGATGCGATAGAGCTTTGCAAACAAGCACTGCCCTCATCCACTGGGAAGAGATAGACTAGGGAACGACCTGCTAGTCATAAAGTGTTTATCTGAGAAAAGAAAAGCAGTGGTGCTAACAAAGATGTTGCAATCCACCAGAAGACGCGCCAGATCTAACACTTTGCCTCTTTGACGTTGCGACAGCAGAAGGGAGAGACTAGCAGAAAGGGCAAAGGTCAGCTAATGTGATGCCTTTTTTTATTCTACCAATAAAAGCAGGACCTAATTCTGGATCTTTGTGAGCGGGGGGGGCCTCCTTGAAAGCAAAATTTTTGAAATTTGCTTACAAGGGTTGTCAAAATGTGCAACCACTAGCTTTAGAATTAAGGTATCTATTTCAATACATCAAAACACATCTTATAAACTATGTACAGGCTATAAAAAATTTAAATTCTTATAATTATTGCTCAATAGACAATATCGATATCAGTAACAAACTATCGAATATCAGCATAAACTACATGCGAGTATATTCAGCTGATTTTACAAATATGTTTACAAGTCTACCAAATAGCATAATAAAAACAAATTTTAAAGAACTTCTTTCACTATGCTTCAAAAATGCACAAAAAATACTTAACGTATAATGGTTTTAATAAAATATATTATACCGATACTATAAACACAAAATCAAAAAATAGATACTACACTATTTCTGATTTCTTATATTGCATACATTATATCCTTGATAACAGTTTTGTAGATTTAGTACGTACATCCTAAAACAAAAAGTTGGTGTACCACAGGGAGGTAATTTTAGCCCTTTATTGGCAGATCTCACTTTATCTTGGTATGATTATAGATACTTAATTCAAAAAATCAATAGCAACAATCACCTTGTATTCCGATATGTGGACGATTTATCTCTTACATAACAGCACAGAAACTGAAGTTCATAATACAGTCATTAACGTATATGGAAACAAACTAGATTTGGATACTACACACGAGGATTAATTCAACTGTAATTATCTCGACTCAAACATTACAATTGTTACAGGATAGTAACCAAAATGTATAATAAAACAGATAGTTTTCATTTTCATAAAATAATATATACACATGACTTCTGATGTTTCCATCCATATCAAAAAAAGCTATAGTTTACACAGGAACTTTAAGAATTGCACATACTTGCACCTATTTTAATGATTTTGTTGAGAAAGTTTTACAGCTAAGAAACATACTTATCTCTAATGGTTACGATGAAAACATAATTCTTTCAAATATTTTCAAATGTCTACATACATGAGTTCATACTATATAAATATGAATTTCACAATTACAATAGAACCAAAATTTGTTTCACATTCTACATCAAAATATATTAGGATCAAAGCAATATCTAAATGCCTTGAACCAGTATTTGTCAAAACACATAAATGATTCATCTCACTTTGTATTTCTAAGCAGTAATCGTTCGTTCTTATTATAATATCATAATGACTACTATATAAAATACATAACGAACAGCCGCTTGATCATTGATTCCATTAGAAAGAATCAACATTATGACAATAATTTACTTACAAAAATACACAAATATGTTTCACTTAATACTTAAAAGATTTTTATTCACGACAGCTATTCCAACTAGCATATTATATATCTATACACAATATACGATAGGATCATCAATATGTAAGTTATATTTGACCTACTACAACATAAATTGTGACATTGTAAGTCAAATTGATCTACTACAACACAGTTTGACATTTAATAAAGTTTCGATATATAGAACAGGTTCACGGGCTCTCCTTCCTTACTGGGGAGTTCCGGGGAGAGCCCGGAGTTCCTGTACTCCGTCTAAGGGCAGGAACGAAACGGAGTTAAAAATTTACATGCAAAATTTACATATAAAAATCGTTTCCAATATTAGAGTACCACACTTTGTATATAACTACCTCTATTTTTATCACTATTGTTTATTCTTGCAAATAATTAACATAAATCTCAAATTTTTCAAAAACTGAAATTAGCCGCAGCCGCCGCGCCCCCTTTTTCTAGATTTTAGGGGTTACAGGCCCGCAAGAATTTTAGTAAGCACCCCCGAAATTTTTTCGGAGTGCGTGGCCAACTCCACGCACCTTCATTTGGAAAATTTTTTGCCCCCGAACGGAGATCCTGGGACCGCCACTGCTAACTATTAGGTCGTTCCATAAGTTCGCAGCGTTTTCAATTTTGTCGTCGTTTTTTGGTGAAACGGTTGGCTTACGGCAAAAGTACCTGTACTATCCGAAAGAGACAATTGTGCTCTACAAGATCTGCGTTTTACTTTCGAAATAAACCTAATGACCTTCGTTTTGTAATTGCTCAAAGCAAAGTTTTTTGTGCAGCGAAAATGTCGCTTGAGACATCAGCATCTGCGGCACCAACGGAAATCACCAGAGGGAATTTTCCATTTGAAATTGATTGTTTTGTGAGGAACGACTGTATACCGGATCAAAATGCAATAGAAGACGCCAAAGAAGAAGCTACAGAGAAGGATAGAGTGCACTTTTGCTGTATGTGTAGATGTTTTGCGTCTGACAGGAATAAGAATTTTCCAAGCCAAACTTCCTAGGGAAAGCATAAAATCGCGGTGCAGGCTACTCAAATTTTTGCGCCACTTAGGCAAAGCTGCTCGCTCAGGGACAAAACGGGAACATTCTGTTGCGAAACAACGCGTGAAACTCAAGCTGCGTCAGTCGAAGATAGCTACTATTGAGACCTCGTTCAAACAGTTCTTAGCATATTGGCTGGACACCATTGTGTCAGCACAGCCTTGCTTGCTACCAGCTACTCCGACTATGCATGCAGAGATTTGTGGGATATGGAGGGAATGCGAAAAGTACAAGTTTCGAAATCGCCATTTTCTGCCACTCAAAATCTTGCTTTAAGAAGTTATAAACCAAAAATCATCAGGATGCTTCGAAAATAAAAAGCAGATTTTGTAAAGCAAATTTGGCTCTTTCGAAACAATACAGATATTTACCGTAAAATAACTGCTTCATCAGAAAACGACGGCAAGAACAAAAACGCTACGAACTTATGGAACGACTTAATATATTTGCAGATTTTACTGAAAAGCGTCGTGCCATCTCATATTTTTTCGCTATGCTGTTTTTCTCTGCTCACCGTGAGATTGAGACTGAGACGTGCAAAAGGAAACCTAGTAAGATACAATATACAGAAAGTCCTCGAAACCTTCCAAATTATGTTTTTTTGGCAATTCTATCAGTCCTGTCATAAATTTCTATGTCTCAGAGTCTATTTTTCCACCTATGCTACCTAAATGTACAACTTCTTAACGGGAATAACGCCAAGCTGCACATTGCCATCACATAACACTGTATCTTCTTTATTGAATCAACCATTTGCTTTGGCTGTAGCCTGCTCGTTAGCAGCACGATAAGCGCTCTTAGCCTCTTGACCTAGGATAATCACCCAAAACATTGTTGATTACCAAATTATATGCAGCACACAATAGCTTTCCCCAGCATTTTACGGAGTAAACACAAAATTAGTATACGAGTTGATAAAGCTGTATATTATCCCCCAAACATATAAAATCAGAGGTGCTCCAAAAAGTAACCGACGCTTCTTTACTTTCTCTCTCAAGCAACCGTGTTTTTTGAAAGGATTTTTCTATGACTTTAGATTGCAAAAGTTTTGAACCTATCTTTTTGACGTCTCAATTTTACGATGCTCATGCACAAATGTATGTGCTCGTAGTTTAAGAATAATGGTATTTTGTAGAGATAAGTGATTAGTCGTGCAAAATCAACTTGTTGATCTTTTTGATGAGGAAATCCTCAAGTATTGCGGGCTTTTAATTTTTGATTCATGCAGATGTTCAGAAAAGCAGGACCTCCGTGAAAAATCATTTTTGAAAGAAAGGGCAGCAAGAGAAGATTGAAAAACGCTGCAAAAACATCCTTCGCAAAACTAGTACTGGAGAATTATTAGTTATGGATAACAGTACTTCGGGATATACAAGCGCTCACGCAAGTCCGCTCAATCATAGCTGATAAAAGAGGAGAAGACTTGCGTTGATTGCCGTTTAGAGTACTCATCTATGACTAGTCCATCCTAATCGAGTAAAGACTTGAAGGGTGAATAGTTCTGATTGCTTTTGACCCGCCATTGTATCTCGTACTACTAGTAATTTCTTCACAACGACTACTTGTTTCCCATCAAGCATAGTGGACCCAACGAAAATCTGGACTTTCAGGCATGGATCAGTACCTTCTGCCTTAGCGATTTTTTATTCTCGATGAGAGATAGAGCTCTAGAAAATTGCAAAATTTCTCTCTAGACGTGTTAGGATCGCACAATGCTGCTCTACAAAGCATGACCAAAAAGGGGGATATAGGCGTATTCGTACATAATGCCATCAGGGAACTTCCATAGGACCGCCGTCGTGCGCGACACATCCTATGGGGGCTTTTGTAAGTGAAAGTGGAAAGATTTTGCGCGTGTGCGACCTGTTGAGACCAATCATTCAGTGTAGATGTTGAATGTTATCGTGTGAGCTGTCTTTAAAAAAAAGACGGTGCAGAAACTCGAAGTCAGAAGAAAATATTGCAGACAAAATTGAAATGACAGTGTTTTCAGTGAACGGTGGGTGGTCGAGTTGGTCATCATGGTCTGGAGCTTGTGATGCCGACTGCGTAGCTCTAAGCAATGCGTTTGAAAAAGGGACCGGTACAGAGATGATTCCAAAATTACGAAGAGTTCGTACGTGCAACAACCCAGCACCGTTGAACGGTGGCGTCTACTGTCTTGGAGAAGAAGAAGTATAACCTGTGATTATGGATTCTCCATCCACAAATTCGTCTTTCAGGAGTTTCGATCGTGCAATTTGACATGTCGTTTGGACGGACGATGGTCAAACTGGTCGGAATGGTCTTCGTGTTCCCCTACATGTCATCGTTTTCGGAAAAGAACATGCACTTCACCGTCTCCGACTAATGCTGGTCGTCCTTGTGCTGGAAGAGATTTGGAAACTGTTACATGCAGCGAAGAGTAAGTTTGTTAACTAACTTCCAAATTCTTCTTGTTTCCTGCAAAGAGTTTTAGAATCGTCTTCGTCCTTATCGTTGTGTAAAAGAGTTCTAGATTAGCATGAATTTTCGCTACGCGCTCGTCACTATCTCGCCTTGTGAGAGTTTGTAGCACCACTATCATGTATGCGTAGTTCTGATTACAGCAGGGAACAATGTGCCATCAGCTTTACCTATACGCACGACAGTTACACTATTTTTTATCTGTATCGTATCTTCCTTTCAAAGACACAAAAAAGCCAAAAAAGGTTTTTGCTCGCCATCGTTGGGCCAGATTGCACGACACAATATCTACATCCGCTTGCCGTTGATGCACAGTACCTTCTATTCATCAGAGGCCAAAATTTTATCGGCGGAAGTTGCACGCTAGGTGTTTGCGCTGCGTGTGCACGCGCAGCATAAGGAAAGATTGAAGAAAATGCGGTGAAACAGTCAGGTCTCAAGTAAATTCTACCTAAAGCACAGCCATGGGGTCAACGTAGTGTGACCCAAAACCTGGCTCTGATCTGGATTGAGATGAATCCTTCAATCAAATTTTCTGTCAAATAACTACTCCTAACACGCAGAATAGTCCAAAGAACACCTATATAGAGCATTTTTATGAAGCACTGGGTACGTGCGCTTGCAGAAATGACTCACAATCTATGGTTGAATTTTTCTTTCAAGAAATCTCAAATATAACACTCATAATATGATCGTTTTCAGTTATTGTATTCCATCCACAATACCACAATTTGGCATAACCAATGATGCTACCATTTATGGTGGATTAGCTTGCGTATTTGTGCTGCTGGCGGTCATCATGGTCTTATGCACAGCTTTGCTTTGCAAACGAAATAAGAGCAAAAGGTGCAACATGAAGAACATCTACTATGCTGAGCCTGGAGGTTGGTTTTGCAACTTAAACCATGCTTTTGAAAAATCGTGCGATTATGATAATTATGGGGACAGAATCTTTTCATATGCGTGTAAGAGGAGAATTGTGTGAAGTCAACAGTAAAGTTGCTATTTTGTGTCTGCGCGAGTCTTGTCTACGAAACATCGCCGCAAACGATTTTCAAGCAATTTGTTCTTTACTTCTCACTTCGTTTGCATGGTTGCAGCGTACCTAGAAAATATTGTTTTAGTGTGGTTGACGAGACCTCAGTGCCGCTGTTTGCACAGCGGTCCTGTTTATGCAAATTTCGAAAGCTAAATCGCTCGTGAGTTGTGCGGGATCGCATAATCCAAGTGGCTTGCAGCGCAGCTAGCGAAAGAGTGTGCTCGATGAATCCCCCAGGACGTGTTTGGATTTAATCTGACGTCCAGCGATTGACAGTGATCAATGGTCGGGAAATGACTCATCTACTTCCCAGAGGGTCCGGCTGATGTTTGACAATGAGGGGAAAACTTTTAACTGCATTATGAGAATCCTCAAACAATGTTATCATAATGGTCTGGGTTTTGCGTTAGATGTTATGATGCATTACATATGTATGTATGTGCAGTGCAAGCCCAGAATTATTTGAGTGAGGGAAACGGCGGCGGAAGTTTTTGCTGAAAAGAGCATGAGATGAAAGAAGACATATTCAGCTCTAATCATGTCTACGAAGACTACAAGACTTTTGTTATTGGATTGTACCTGATTTTTTTTCCTAGAATTCCCTTTAGAAGCAAATAATGGGGTGCAGCACACCCCTAAAAAGTTGTGGCGGCTACAGCTTCTTAGGGGTTGTGCCACTCCCAATAACTTACCTTCAGACCATTCAAATATCTGCGTTCGTTGCTATTGCTCAATCTTCTTCTTTACTTAGTAGGAGAATCATCTAAAATCGTTTCTCCCAGGGAGAGATATAATCGTTTTCCCTTACCTAGGCAAATGGAAAACGCTGCGAAAATACTGGGTTACGGTAACATGCTTAGTCTGCCATAGTATATAAGTCGCAAAAGAAGGCGACAAGGATAAATATATTTGATAGATCAAGCCTCATAATTTACATTAAAGTGATTTGAGCTTGACTGGTCCTCTCTAATCTGACATTGAAAGCGGAAAAAATGAACAAATGAGATTTTGGCTTACTCTAATTCCATAGTTTGGATGTTATTCGAAGTGGGATTCCTGCTGTGAGCAAAGAAGTAGTAGTTCGTTGTATTAAGTGCAGAAAGCAATCAACTCACCTTTGAAACGAAGGTAACGTGTTTGAAAATGACTATCTCACTTGGATGGCCCAATATTTGGAAACCTCAGCAATCGCTGAAACTTGGTCTACAGGGGCTATTTGAATTACATAAATGATGCCCCTATGCTAGTGCTCTTTTATTACGCTTACTGTACACATACGATGGTTGGCCAAAACACCAATGTGCTAGTCTTTACACAGTGCCTATCTGACATTGTTAACGAATATCATAGTTATCGCTAACGCCAGCTCACCTCGATAACGACCCCCCCCCCCCTCCCCGACCCCTCAATACGACCCCCAGGTGTGGTATGCCACACCCCACGCTTGACCCTAGCGCAGAGTCAGGTTTTTGTTTGCAAGTTCGATTCCCTTCCTTGCTACTCTTTTGCAACCCATTGTCATATCTATAATGTTAGCGCGAGGTCTCTGACGGTTAAAAAGGTAAGGTCAACATCTAAAGACTGCAAAAACTTTAATTCTTTTTTGATTCGAGAGTACAAGTGCATAGTACAGTTTCACTTCCTCTTTTTCTTGCTTTTGTTCGTTTGCATTCGTATTCATCAACGTTTTTATTCTCTTTAGAAAAAAATCTTGCTTTTGTTCGCTTGCATTCGTATCAACATTTAGATATTGGTAAAAGAGTGACAAGCAAAAGGAATCGAACTTGCAGACAAAAGCGACCTCATTTTCTGAATCTGCACACTTACCACTGCGCTATGTGTTATCTTGAGCTTCACTTGGAGTAACCTGTATTCATGACGAGTAGCGGCCTCACGACGGAGGGCCCTAACTTCGTAAAAGACCGATAAGCAGATAGGCAGATATATAATCAGCCCTCCATGGAGTGTTCAACGTTATACGGCTTGCTGGGATTGGCCACTTCGGATTTTGACCATTCCTTTGTATGAAGAAATGATTCATTTACATAATTCATACCTCTCATGGTCGTAAAAACCGCGAACACCGCCAAAGTTTGGTGTTACTTCGCATGGCCTCATGTCCAGCTGAGTTCGACACCGCGCACTTGTGTTTGACTAATAGATGTACTGCAGATAGTCAGTTCTCAACTACAGCTAACATGTGTTCAGCACACTGCATGACCTACCGTCAGCCAAAATTTGGAAACATCTAGCATCGACATTGAAATCTATCGTATACTTGAGAAAGTCAAGGTGGCCAATCCATATTAGCTGCAGATCGTTGGGTGCGACATAAGACGCTAACTCCACATCTGTCAGCCGTATCTGCTACAATCCTATATGTACGAGGTTGTACATTTTATTGCAAAGAATTCATACATACAAATGGGGAAATTAAGCACATTATTGCCTTTTCAGCTCACCTTTCGCTATGGACTATACAAGCTAGTTTGCAAAGTAAGTTGCATCATTTGCCCCATCATTGCTAAATATGGATCTATATGTCTATATTTGCACTTCGCATACGCGATTTCTTTGCAGTAAGACTTTCATCATAGTGCATAATTTTGTCGTCATTGACGTTTAGCAGATACGGGAGACAATCGGAGTCAAAGTTCTATGCTGCGTCCGTGCAGCTTGTTTGAATTGGCCACTTCGCCTTCTAACCATTTCTTGTTTCCTCTTTCTGTATCGGAAGATGCCCCTTTAAATAAGTTGAATTTTCATAATTTACAGCTGCTGTATAACTCACCCCCTCTTAAAAATTTTTGCCGGTTTTTCCTTGGACTTCCATCAATTGTAGATGGCATAGTTAGAATTTCAAAGCTCTTACACTGTTTTCTAGCTCATGTGCGTCGAGTATTGCTTGAACAACAGCAAAAGGCTTTTCTATGCAATAGCGCTGAGGTTAGCACTTTAAGTTGTAAGGCTATCAAAGATTATAATATTTATTCATGCTTTACAGCCACCGCCAACTCATTCGCAGTTCTTTACTCTGACCAGCACCTGTTCACCATCACCAGTGCACCCGTCGTTGACATTACGCTCTGCGAAAAGCGTGTACAGTGGTTATTCAACAAATAGAAATGCAGGTATGACCATATACTACCATATGGTCCACATATATCACGAAATATACAGTTCTCTTATGGCCATTCTGTGGGTTCTTTTGCTCTATCACATTACCCTCCTTGCCATTTTTCTTATCTCCTTGCATTGTATGAAAAGAACATTCTTTTTTGATACTCCAATAGAAAGGACGTCCTAAAGTACGTATGCAGTGTTTGATTATTTTCATCTCTCTTCCAAAAGGCTTTTGCCGGCAATCATTCTTCTATTCACAAGAGCTTGCTTCAACTTAGACTTGCAGTATAGAGCAGATCACAGATAGCTCTTCTTAGCCCCTGAAAAAGAAATACGGTGGTAACTATGAAGAGGTTTTGAAGCATTTCGAGCCATATTTCGTCCTAGATATGTACGTAGTGTAAACTATTCAAAATCTCTGACACCAGGCTAATTAGAATCCTTGACTCCCTAACATTATGAAACATCGGGAAAACACAAAAAATCGATTGACTAAGGATTGAAGGTTCCGCGCTTTGACACAACAGGCATGCTTCAGTTCACTTTGAATTCGCCCATTAGGAGTCTAGTGGGGGAGGATGACTATAGGTACAACGAAGTAACTGTTTTCTCAACCCAACTCAAAATTTTGATTGCAACCGTCTTTTAAAGGCTCCTAGGGATTTAAGAAATAAGGGTGAGTGGAAAAACCTTATCACAAAGGTCTGAAGTCTCTTAGAAGTTTAAACGGTATCTACTTCACATCGGCGGAGTGCGCTGGAGGTTCCTCCATGATCGGCAACAGTATAAAAAAAGCAATAAATATTCGTCCTGTACTATAAATCCAAGTTGAAGCTAGCTCCATATATGTACCTGAAGTCGACAAAAGGGTTTGTGGGAAGAAAGATATCAACAAGTGATCAGTGCATACATAATTTGATGACGTTGTATCAACCACAAGTAAAAGTGCATAATTTAGGCTCACGTGCGGCACTTATCACCGATTGCTCATCAAATTCGTCATCCGGCTGTGGAAAACGAACATTGATACATACTATCTCAAATTACTCAGAAGAAGAGAACTACGCTACACTTTACGATTACTTTGACGAGGAAACTGTTGGTTGCTTGGAAACTTCACAAGCCATTCTGGCAGCGCAGGTAGATCAATGCGGAGCAAGACTTCAGGTAAGTACCTAAATTTTACACTCTAATCAATTCTAGCATTAGATACACAGCCCTGTCGAAGCAAATCGGAAATACGTAATCTATTGAAGTTTATCTTTCCGAAAAAGATTCCATAACTTGTGCAGCGTACTTTTCATACAATCTGTTTTAGTTACTGAAATTTTGAGAAAGAATGGTTTTTTAGTTTCCCGAAATGGATCACACAGTCTAAAACACCTGGGGCTTTTTGAACTTCTATGAGCGAGCCATTAAGCAAGAATTTGTTGCATCAGCGATCAGCTAATATGAATGTTTTAAAATTGTTTGATCCTTTTCATGATGCGAAGTGCGGCCTTCAGAACGTGAAAGCCCCTTCAATGTTGCTACCATAGTCAACTGACGCAAAAAACTGTTCTTCTTTTTTTTGTACCGTAAGTGCAGGTTGAGCAGTTATATTGAATGAAGAACACTACTTGGCTAAAGACTTCACGTAAGAGTTCAGTAGCAATTCAAACAAGCCGCCGGCACGATGCGTGCCTACAGTCGAGTAGATTTCCTGCTTAATATAGTGTCCCTGCAGACGCGACAACGCTGGGGCGTCAATAAATGCCTTACGAGTTCCCGAGCTAGTGTTTTCCAGTGTTTTCTTTGCTTATTTCATGCTTTTTAGTTGATTCGTTGCTGATAAAGAGGAAAAGGGTAAGTTAAAGAGTAGTTTCTGTTTTCTGAGAAGTCCTATCATCGACAGATATCCACGTGGAAGCATTTCGCGTCAGCTTCTTGTCTATTTTTTTTGTCATTTCCTTTTCTTCTGTCACTTCTTCTTTCAAACCTCCTCCTTCTTGTGAGGCGTTTCTTTGAACGCTAGTTGGCTTGTCTTGCAGTAACTTCGGCTTTCATCCATAAGAAATAGCATTTTAATCAAGTACTTCATGTGATAAAGACCTTAAGTCAATCGTAAAAACCCACTAGCGTTCAGAGAAGTACCTCACAAGAAGAAAGAGACATGAAGTGACAAAAAAAATAGACAAGAAGCTGACGCGAACTGCTTCCACGTGATATCTGTAAATATGCGATGATAGCACTTCTCAGAAAACAGAAACTACTCTGTAACTTACCCTCTTCTTCTTTTTAGCAACGAATCACCTAAAAGCTTAGAATAAGCAAAGGAAACACTGGAAAACACTAGCTCGGGAACTCGTCAGGCAATTATTGACGACTCAGCGTTGTCGCGTCTGCAAGGACACTATATTAAGCAGGAAATCTACTCGACTGTACCTTTATATCACTGTTGATTAGCATGTCGCAGAATCCCACCGGTGTGCCGATGGATATCGCGCCATGCTAACAGCTCTGATCAGCACAGGAAGTCAAAAGTGTGCCCAAACAAACAAAGGTCTTGTTCACAGTCTAAATGAGGGAATGGAAGTGGCGTGTGAGGGAGGGGAGCTGTAGGTTGTTCTGCTTTTTCCTGTTGTTTTTGACTTTTTGCCCTCTATTCTGGGTTAGGCCGCAACTCCACCCAGTGAAGGGCAAAAAGCCAAGTGGAGAGGAGTAGGAGGCAAAAAGGGTCAAACGGGAGCTTCTTTGCAAATTTTTCGAAACCAAAGGAGAGTTTGTTTCAAAATCTCCCTGGTTCCAGCTGGCCAGTTATTTGATACATGTTCGTATTGTATCTGTTTGTTTTCTGCTTACTTATTTGATACATGACGCCTGCACTCGCTCTCTCACAATCGTTTGACAGACTATATTCTGTTTGCATATTGAAGTTGCCCCTTTTTGTAAACAATCCAACTATAAATATATAAGTAAACTGACTGTTATTTTTACAGCTTCGTAAGTGTGGAGTGGCATTGCTGATTCCGGAAAATGCAGTTGACACAGATAGAATGATCTATGTGGCGGTCTCCGACGAACTCGGTAATCGGCCGCAATTGCAAAGTGAGCTTCTGTATACTTACCGATACCTCTTGAATTCAACTCACCGCAGCTTTTAGCGGGCGAGTCTGTCTTATCCTCAGTAATAGTGCTGGGAGAGTGCGAAGGGGAATCAGCAAGTGCACCTCGTCTCTTGCTGAAACCAGTTATATTGTCCTTTCGTCACTGTGCCTCGGTCTTTCCTCGGGACAACTGGTCGTTTATACTCTATGCAGATGAAGGTATGCTTTTTTCGTTGCCTACTTTCAGGCTTTTGTGTCGAATTGTAAAATATGTATGAGAACTAAGGCTGCGTCCAGAGTGGTCCGTATGCCAGAGTTGTGCCACATATTTGCTAGCTGTTTTTTTGAATTCGTGTGCGCACGTGAAGACTGATCTACGTCTTAATATTGCGCCATCACAGCGCTGGCATGGCAGGTCTGAACTAGACTCAAGTCCCCTATCCAAATCCAATGAGTGACCAACTGTACCATTGCCACATCAGAATCTCAGATTCTAAACCACTTCGATGGTTTACACTTAGAGCCCTCATAATGATGGCTGTCTTTAGTTTCCGCCTTTATGAAAAGTAAAGCTTGTTTGAGAAAACAGAAATAAAAAATGTAAATTATAGCAAATGCGAAAATTTCTTGTAAAAAAGTGGAAAGCAATGCATTAGTTTCAGGCTCTTCAAGCAATTTTCTAACAATCTTTCACTTCAATCGCTGCTGCGAATCGGAGAAAGCAGCTAGAACGGCGTTTTTTCAAAGATTTTATCAAAACTAAACATGGTTCAAGTGCAAGTACTAAAGACAGACTGCGCATCAACGCCAGTCCGATTTTCGATGTTTCCTTTGTATTTTTCTTTCATCCTGTCGTTCTTCCGGCGACGTTACTGGGTTATCCTGCTCATCAAGTCTACCCTTCTTTCCATGTTCCTACTACTCTTATTTTATTGAGAAGTTTTTGAAGATAAATCATTGTAGTAAATACAGATAGCATCATCCATCAATGTTTTCTCATCATTTTGATAAACATACGCTTTTAACTCGGGATTAATACCAATACAACATACAATGTGACGCACTCCTACAACAGTAGACAAAATTCAGAAAAAGACGGAAATGATTGGGTGACTTCAGGATTAAAGTTGTTTAGTTTAAATATTTTTTCACAAGTTCGTAGAAATATCATAGACCATTTTCAATCAATAATCTATGTTTCGTAATTGTGCACAGCCTATCGCCACCTCGCCTCAAGTTTTCGCTTTCTTCTTCACTCGGTGGGTCTGGCCTCAAAAAAGTCTCTAACGAGCGTCTGAGATCATCTCCAGAACGCCGTCGGATTTTCAGTTTCGTTCTTTGAATCTCGGTGGGTCTGGTCTCAAATAAGTCTCTGAAGCGTCTGAGATCGTTTATTTTGCAAGAGGACGACAAATGATAATTTGGTGGGTTGATGTCTGAGGAATGTAATGAATGTACGTCTTTGTGTCTACACAGTGCAATTGTTTTGCAACATGGTCAACTGTTTTGTTCTTGTTTGCAATCTTCAACACATAACGTCCAGCCCATCCCCGTTCCTGTTCAGAGGGCTACAGAAAGTCCTGTTTAAGGACACCTGGTCCAATCCTACCTTTCTAAACAACCCAACCCAATCTTTTTGTCTCATAATTAAGTGCAAACACCATTTCTACAATCGGCAAAAAACCTATGCAAATTCTCTTTCTACGGAGAAAAATAAGCAGGCGCTACTTTAGAAGTTTCTTTTTATTCTCTGAAAATTCTGGCTGAGAGACCAAGTAGGACAGTTTTCTATCAAAACCAATAAGTTCATTCCAAAGAGCATGACCGGCTCTTCTGTGATATACCATCCCTGCAACTCGACCTGCAAATCAATCAATCTATCTTTGAAGCAATAAGGAAGAGAGCGAAAAGTCTACGAACTCATGAAAAGCTATTTAATAGGCGTGGGTAAGTAAGCTGTCTGACTGGACAGCAGATTTCACAGTTTTCGTTACGCAAAGAACCTGTACGATGCCTTCATCGCATCGAGTAGGAAATAAAAACTACTGGAGTAAGTAAGCTGAAGCTGTTGCAGGTTTTGGTTGGCAAAGAGTTTTGACGGTTGGTGAAGAAGATCTAAACTCGTCCATGTATGTGCACATGGAAAATCCAGGACGATGTGGTGCAGGAATGGGTTGGTGCCATGTGATGATGGAGAATTTTGCCAGGTATCATTGGCCGCAATGTCATTTGCTTTCACTGACTGCATCTGAATTCAACTTTTGCAGGAACCTACTGACAAAGTCTATATCGGTATAACGTGTGCCTAGGGCTTGCATGTCGGTCCCTACCGAAATGCAAGTCCTAGGCACATATTATAGTTGGTACACTCTATTTAACACATTGACGACAAGACCAATTTTCGGTTGCTGCTATTTCGGACAGGAGCCTTTTTTGCTCTGCCAAACTTACGACCCACCCGTGGGTCGTATTGTCCGAATTGGTAGTCTTTTTGGAAGAAATTCAAAACATGTCTCCGAGAATTTCCCCACAAGGGTTTCGAACGCGCTGATTACCAAAATATGATTCATTTCAGCTTTGTAAGTATACGGTAAGGGTTACGGTAGTCTTCTGTATGAACTCAACATCATGGATTTTCATGCAAAATTGTGTTTTAGGGTCATTTCACGTGCTGATCACGATTATAGTGTCGACTTTGTTCACTACTTTCCCATATGGGACTGCGGTAGCAGTACGGTAGAATTTTCGTAGAAATTAAGAAACTGATGTAAGAAGGTGGTATCAAAGCTTAAGATTATGTGGTGGTTGTAGGCTTTATTGTAGCCTTAGGCGGATGAGTGGCGCCTGTTATGGAGTATGGTAGCTCCCAGTGTGTTAATACAACACTAAGCTATTAGAGCTTTATTGAACAGACGACATGCACCCATTCGTGCAGTGGTAGAATGCAGAGGATTGAAGGCGTGGTAAAGTAGTATCACAAACATCTGGGCAATAATGCACTCATATCATAGCAAGTCATGCTTATGGCATGACCTTTACGGTGCTTAGCAGGAGTAATGATATGGTTGTAAGGAAGGTGCCGACAAGTCGGCACACTCCGGCCAGCAAGAGAAGTAAATTAGAAACATCGAGTGAGCAGCACATAAACGTACACAATTAACGTAAGCAAATGTATAGATCCAGTACTTATCAGGATACCGTAGTGGACGTCCTTGAGGAGACAGATTGATGGGGGTGGAATTGTGGCTGATGTGGTCGTGACAGCTGACATGAGGTGGCGAAGAAGTAGATGGTGAAAAGGCAGAATAATGTAGATCATTACGACGGAGCGAATCCGCATTGGGAGACGACATTATAGATTTAGGAATATAAAATTGGTTCTTTCTCTTACTGTTCTTGAGTTGTCGCTTTGCATTCTTGTACCGTCTCTTGAGATCGTTGTCCTTGGGTTGACTCGCATCAGGCATAGTCGGTGACGTCAGGCTATCATGTCCATCGCGAATTGCTGATATTTTGTCATCCATGGCATCTCCACAAGCCACAACTCCACAGTCTTCAGAATAGTGTTCACGCTCCTCATTTTCGTTGCCTTTCTACGGTCGCAGGAGTTTCGCTCATCACTGCTACACTGTTGAACTCTCTTTCAGCGTCAAATATGAAACGGCGAAGCAAGCTGGATTGCTGTCTTTTGACTACTTGACTTGATACAAAATTCTTGTATGTTTTTGCATATACTATCTGATATTCCACAGCGATAGTAAAAACATTAGCATTAGAAAGCAACTGGTGAAAGTCAAGCTCTTTTTCAAGCTCTTCTAGCTGGAGTATGACAGTTTTTCTCTCGCTTTTAGACTGCTTGAGATAAAATTCTCCAAACTGGTCGACTATTGAGTCCAAAACTGTCGTTCTTGCTTTAACTTGTGAAAGGCAAGAAAGGAGAATATCTAAGTTTTCGAAACATTTCTTTTGAAGCTCTCTATCAATTTCTAAAGTGAATTTGAGCTTGAAGTTGTAGGAGTCAAATTTTTCGAGCAGGTTTGCTAATGCTCTTGAGTGAAATGAGATTGCCTTTTTGAAAACATTTAGAGACATTATGATGTTCAAAAATTGTTAGAAAGATATGGCTGCTTTTTGAGCCGTTCGCTAATTTTGAGCGTAAATTGGGAAGATTCAGTCTCTGATGCGGAGGAGAATGGCTGTCGCTAGGTGGGAGGCAGCGGATTTTGGGCGCTAGGTCCCAAGGTTAGAATAGCTAACCCCTGTGTAGCTGAAGCGAGTATGATCGGCCTTGCGTATTTGGCCGATGCACCATAAATGTGGTGGTTGTAGGCTTTATTGTAGCCTTAGGCTGATGAGTGACGCCTGTTATGGAGTATGGTAGCTCCCGGTGTGTTAATACAACACTAAGCTATTAGAGCTTTATTGAACAGACGACATGCACCCATTCGTGCAGTGGTAGAATGCAGAGGATTGAAGGCGTGGTAAAGTAGTATCACAAACATCTGGGCAATAATGCACTCATATCACAGCAAGTCATGCTTATGGCATGACCTTTACGGTGCTTAGCAGGAGTAATGATATGGTTGTAAGGAAGGTGCCGACAAGTCGGCACAGATTATCATTTTTGTAATTAGTATGCTACAAAACCTATATATGCAAAGTTGGAGCTTCCTAGGATGAAAAATGCAAAAAATGCAAAAACTCATTAAAATCGATAATTTTTGGTGGGCTAACGTCAGGCTCTTGCCCGTCCCTTATTACTCTTACATATAAACTTGATTCTCCAGAAACAGCATCATTTTGCGAAGAATTTGAGCTAAAAGCTTGTGCCTTATATATGTCAACCGTATACCTACCGTAACATTACATTACAGTATCCCGAGCTTGGACCGCTCTGGCTGGAGCTTCACCTAAGTGCCCTCAGTCGGTGCCAGAACCCCGTAGAAATCCGTCGTTAACTGGCAAAGATAGCGCTTCATGAATCTTACGACCCACCGGTGGGTCGTATTGTCGTCAGTGTGTTAATTAACTACTTTTCCACTTCGTGTAAATCACGCCATTACTGTTTTTTGCCTTTCTCGCGTACGGCTTCTTTATACCGTACGCCGCGCAAAATGACAAGTACGTGAGGTGACTGCGTGTTCTACATGAAAGGGGTCAAGTGGGTGAAGTGGATCAACTATGACATGTGCCATAGGCAGCATCCAGAATTGCGCCATGGGTAGAGGACTATATGTCGCCGAAAAAGGGCGGCCCCCGCTGTCATTTGAGACAAATACGCACCCTTGTACATGCGCGGACATGCGTTCCTGCAGGGAATCCGCGCGGGACTCTTCCAAATTCGGCGACATATAGTCCTCCACCCTTACGCCATTACCGTGCAGCGCCCATGCCCTCCGCATCGATCGATTGTCGGTGCTGGCACGGCGCCAGCTCGAACTGGCAAAGGCAACTCTGAACGCAGCCTCAGGCGGAAATAACGAAGTTGTATTTGAACTCGTAGCAAATCTGGGGCCATGCGATACAGAAATTTTTTTAGTGTTAGAACGTTGACTTTCAGAGTAATGCTAGCTGGAAGACCTCGACGTCAGTCTGTTACTGCTTGCAAAAGAGTTCACTTAGCCGCGTATGGACCTTTGGAACCACCGCAATCTTCAAATTTTGAGCTACGAATCTATTGTGTGCCAGAAACAGGGGCGGCCATGGAGAGCGTTGCTAAGCAAGAGCAACATGGACGGTGAGGGACAGATCTTTAGCAGTCTATAATGTAATCTAAATTATCAACAGCGAAAGTGTTCTACATCAGTTTGAAATATCCAGGTTGCTTGCTGAATCCGAGCATTTTATGCTGAACGAAAAAGGCGATCTCTGCTTCTGCGTTGAGGATGTCAGCGAAGGGTTCTCGATTAGAGGATCAGCAATTGTGGTAAGAGTATTTTCTGAATTTTTTGAGCAGGATGGATGATTCTCACATAAAAAGAATCCCCAAGCGCGAGCCTTATTAGCATCTACCAGACTTGCACTTACTTTGTGCTATTATCATGAAGCAAAATAAGTGAGATAACAGCAAAGCTATATCAAAAAACTGTATTTTGTTCCACTTCTGCTTTCAAGTGCCTGCTTCTACAGGATGGGCCACATGAAGTATGACGCAGAAAAATTGACGTATCTCTGCAATGACTGAATATGATGGAAAAATTTGTGTAGATGATCTTTCAAATCACTTGCGGAGTATCCGTCTCTGGATTTGGTGAAAGCATATTTTCTAGCACATTTTCTCTCCCAATTTCACGATGCGCCCAACGATTTTTGGGGAAGCTTCGTCTCAGGCGCTCACAAGGTCTCCTCCGGTAAGACCGAGTGACGCGTTGAAGGAGCAGAACTTTGCTTTCGGATTTGTCAGCGAGAGAATCCGCAGGGTTAAGATTGATCAGATGGTATGCAAATGAATTGAGTTTGGGAAGAATCGGAGATTTGGCAGATGGGGTGACAAAGCGCCGCTTTAATGGTAGGCTAAGAATTTATCAGGTAAAGTTGAGCAAAGCTCCTTTCGCCACCAGTTCCATCCTGGAAGTTCAAAACTGCCAATTTTCTTATCATAGATCCATATCGGAGCTTTAAGAATGTTTTAGTGTTTATACGGGCCTCCACTCCAAAAACCTCTATGGCTGCTCTTACCACCCCATCCGCAGAATTTCCGTGACTTCCCAAACTCAACTGACTTGCATATCATCATGTCGAGAAAGTTACGCTCTTTCAAATGGGCCTATGCACGGGCTCGTGGATTGATTGGCGGCCGAGCTATAAGCCTGTGAAGCGGTGCAAGTCAGTGGTGTGGTGCAGGTGGGATCATGTGCACGCACTGTCAAGAGTCATTTTCAGCAAAGAAACTTACCAGCACACGTCTGATGCACATAGGATGGCAAAGAGCATCCGTTTTATCCGAATAGCTTGTTTGGATGTCTCGAATAGGTTCCCATGTGAAGAAATTTGGCTTGAAAAAGGGATTTAGAAGTTATTTTTTGAAAAAAAGCAAAGTAAAATTCAAGCTTGGGGTTTTTTTTGGAACTGACCACTACTTGATTATTGTCTTCGGTGAGCTCTATAATATAGTGTGCCTACCTCTCCGGGAAACTTCTGTTTTTGCCCCAAGAAAAGGCCTAAAAGAAATTTTTCGCGTTCGAAGAATTATTGTTCGCGACATTGTTACACGGCCATTCTTGGACTTACTTTAGAAAAAGATTTTTAAAATTTTCATAATACACGTTCTCTGGAAATTGCAATGTGCGGGTTGCAGCTCTTGATGAGCTCTATCATCACATGCAATCCAACCATTTTTTCATCTTTGTTTTCATCTGTAAATGAGCGCTGAGAACAGGAGAGCGACTTGTCCGCAACTTTTTGGCGGTCACTGTATATGAAAGCTTGCGCTTACACTTTTGTGGCCCAAAGTCCATGGAAGCATTGAAAACAAAATCAACATGAAAAGTTAAATACAGAAACGATGTAAAACTATGCGCGAGTCCTGCTAGCCGATCTCGCAGATGTGTATCTACCTGCACGTTACTGCGAATCTGTCGCGCGCGGCGTCGGTATTCAAAACCCACAAAATGGGATATATGGGATAGATAATAACATATATGGGATACACCCCTATATGTTATTATCTAATGTACCCAAGAACTTGTAAAAAAAGAATTAAGTTGAACTGCATGCTGTGCAAAAGTTAATATAATAGGGGCTGATTTTTGGCGTATGTGCACACATGTGCTTCCATCTCATTCTTGAGCTTTTAGCCTCAGAATTCATAATTCGTTTTCGTAGCAGCGAGTGTGTTGAAATGAAATCAACCTCAATCATATCGCTTACGCGAGATTGTGCGATTTGATCAGGAAATCGCAGAAAGCCGTTGCGCACAAATAACTCAGTCTAATCGGGGAGAGCCACCGCACAATGAGCTTGAATCTCAGCGTAAGGTGGACTCACCAGTTATCGTACGAATAAGGTGTAAGGAATGGAGAGGAGGATGAGTCAACATATACTGATTGTGAGTGCGCGAAATTACCGAGGGAATTAGGGCAGTGACTATGAGGAAGGCAAAAATTTGCTTTTTTACACCATGGTTGGTCTGCAGCCGAGAATTCAAACCCTTTGTGAATCGTTTTGTGTCAAGTTGAAATTGTAACCACTTAGCGGGGACCGAGGAGAAGGGGGGGGGGGCGTGGAATTTTCAGGATTTACTTAGATGTGTTATAAAAGTGCAAATGACTTGTTCACTTTGTAAATAATAAGAAATCAAATTAGCCTTGTAAAAATTTTTTTCGGGGCGTGGTTGCCGCTTATCGGCCCGCAAAAATCTTGGGAAGCATTCCAAAAAAAATTTCGGAATGCGTGGCTAACGGACAGCACCTTCATTTGGAAAAATCTGCGACTTGCGTACGACCAGCGACTTCGTAATAAATTGTTTTGACACTCCAGTTCAAATCCTTAGAAAGAATAGTTTTCTTCTATGTAGGACACTACCTGATACCCGGCTCTGCCCCGTACTGTCAATACACTGTAATAAATATGTTCTGCCTTAATTTCCCAAAACATTTCGACGTTCCTATCCCACCTCTACATGCCAGAACCCTGTTCCTGCTACGTTTTCGCGATCCGCATGCTCACTTACCCTGTGCCTCCCAGCCCGTAGTTCAAACTTCGCAAAAAAATCAATGAAATCGATAAACGCGGTCGATAATTTCGAAGACCAACATTGTATCCGTAATCAGTATGCTCAGTTATCCTCCCCCCTGTGCTATCCTCCCAGCCCGGTAGCTCAAACTTTGCATGAAATTGATAAAATCGACATTGATCGATAACGAAAAGTAGCCTACGACACCGCCTGCCACGAAGTGTATGCATGCAAAGTTTGATCCGGATCGGAAATATCTCTACAACATACGTGCAGACACATATAAATAGTACACATAAACAAACATTCAATTTTACGTATCGAGATAGGAAGAATACTTGATCAAAAAAATTTTTAAAATAACATAAAATCGTTTCTACTATCAAGAAGAAAGTTTCTGGTTCTCAAGCGCGCTTCCAAGGTCCGAAATACTACTACTATTCAATATGCTGTTATGCCGGCATACACGTGAACGGTTGTTATTTCCATCGCACAATCAGATAAACTTACGAGCTTCTGCCCTCAACAGTGGTAGAAACTTGCTTATTACTGTTCACTTTTGGGACAAAAGAAAAGTTCCTAATATTGTTTGAATCTGCAAAGCGGTGCCTGCGTGCTCATGTATTTGCTTCACACGCAGAGAATTGGCTGCCTTGATTCTGACGCACCATATATCATAGAAAGCCTATCCAGCGGGCGAGGGGAAAGGCGAGTTTTCTCAAAATTTCTTCCGTGCTGCTGAGGAGCTCAGCCATAAACACATACACTAAGTTTTCTTTCAGGAAATTTCGGAAACTCACCATCAGTGGTGTAGCCAAAATGGATTGCATTGCTCAATAACAGTATGTGCCGATGGTGGTAGGCCTTTGCAGGAATTTCTCTCCAGGATCGTCGTATATCAAAAGACAAACAATGCTGAGAGACATGTACTGCATCTACACCTTAGGAATAACACTGTAAGTAACGCTGACCCAGAACGGAAAGTTAGCTCATACAATTCAGCTTAAAGAGATTTACGAGCTTTAGGTTCGTTTCTAAGCAATAGCTTACATGAAATGCAAGGGTTTCCAAGTTAATTAGTATTCTAGAGTTGAACGTTGTAAATAGTTGGCTATACAGGGTGTTCCAAAAAGATGTGTACACTGTTCGATCATCAATAACTCTTCTGCTTTCATGTCTTTTACCAAGACTGAGGTACCATTCTGTAGAGCGAGGTTCAACTTAGATTTGCAATGTGGAGCGAATCATCGCTCGCTCTTCATTACTGTGAGATTACGGGAGGAACTTCGAGGGGAAATTAAGCCATTTGAAAGCGGTACGTTGCCGGTATTTTGCCTCAGAACTAAAGCCAAACAAGCCAGAAACTCCTGTACTGTGCTAGTCGGAGTCGTTAATTCTGAATATGAATTTGCATTTTAGTATAGTGCCTCTCTCATAAGTTATTTCGGATTTAGGGTAACAACTGTTTTCCGTGTGCTCGTCAGAAATATGAATACGCATCAAGAAAGCACGAAAAACTGCTGAAAAGTCATGTAGTCAAATCAGCACGCCTGAAAATCTTGGTACACAAATTTTCAGAGTTTTTGAAATATTTTATCGAAAGGCCTATTCCACAGTGACGCTGTATGCTGGAAGTTCATACCATAATCTTTCAGTATCAAGCGTGATTGATGATTCGCTCCATACTGTAAGTCCAAGTTGAACCTCGCTTTACAGAATGGCACCTCAAGCTCAGGGCTCGGCACGAGGTGGCTTACAAGCAAGCTGGGTATCGTTTTTGGGATGAAAAGCAAAGGGGGTTTCGTTTTTGTGACCGAAGACACACGCAAAATTGGCGATTTGGCGACGTTTTTTTTTTAGTCGACGTTTCGTTTTTTGGAGGATTTTTAGGGAAAATGGTGGGGGGTCAAAGGGGACTTCGTAAAAATACCCAAAAGCCAAGGGGGACTTCGTTTTTCGCATTTTCATCTAGCCACCTCGTGCCGAGCCCTGCTCAAGCTCGGTAAAAGACATGAAAGCAAGATTCATGCAGACAAATATATTTACCAGCTGAGACTTGAACCAATGCCAGTTTGATGGTGTGTGGAAGCTGTTCAACTCGGAACTATTTTCAGTATGATAAGCCAGCACATGAAGAAGATCGCACAGTTACTGCTGATTTCCATCTTCCAGTAGAAATCAAAGATGGGCTGTCACAATTGCTAGATCCACCTACTAATGCAGAAACAGACTGGCGAGGTTTGGCCAAAAAACTTCATACGGACAGGTATATTCAGGTGGGTTTTGTTTATCCAAATATGCAGCAGAGACCGCTGAATAGTAATTAATGAACAAACTTCACACTTCATCTTTGCTTCATTGCGTATGCAACCCACAACGTTTCTCTTTTCCATATTGAGTCGTTAAAGTTAGTGAAATTGGAGCATCTAAGGTGATTTACCAAAACGAGGCTCTTGTATGTAAGGCATTTCATCGCACGCAGAGAATGGACGCCGTTGCGTTAGACTAAGACAGTCAGTTCGGTAGAGACCGCATACGGAGAAAAATACTGTCTACCCAGAGTCTTGACCAGAGTCATGTTTTGATGGTTTCGGGACCTTCTCAGTCCCCGATATGAAGTCGAGACGCGAAAACCCCTATCCCCGTTCCGGAGAACCTGCAGCCGGCTTTCCGGAACGGTGATTGGATGGGCGCGCACAGATGGACGTGCATGGATGGGGAGGGCGGTGCCGTCTGGAGGTCTTCATGCGTAGTCGTAATTCCGGAATTTTCCTCGTTAAGAGTTTGCTGGGTGTCAAAAACGACGAGGTACACCGAAAGCATTCGCACGCATAGAACGATATGTATTAGCAGTGACGGACCGAGGGAAGCCCCCCCCCCCTCTCCCAAAAACGGGTCGCGAAAATTGTAAATGTTGCTTACATGACTTGTTTATGCTTGTTGATTGATATCTTTTGCAGTTTTTCCAAAAAGTGAAGCCTTATAAGAAAAACTTTTCGGGACTTGGCGGGAGACACGCCCTTTTCTCTAAAATTCCGGGAGTTATGGGGTTGTCGTGCTTAATACGAGCATAGCAGTGATTGAAATATTCACCATTTATGAATATCAAAAAAGGGGAAGATGATCACCGTCCGCTCGATTACGCATAGTTCGTGTAGGGAGTGACATCGTAAACAGGTCCATCTAATAGTGTGCGGCTCGACAACTAAGAAACAGGGTGGCCAAAATCAAGAATGTCCCAGACTATCGTGAACTTTTGAACATGTGACATAACGCCCCCCTCCCCCCGGCTGTTCTAGTCGATTTAGCCTTCGTTTATAGAAATCGTAAGCACTCGGTGTATATGAACCTTACGCACTTGCATTAAAGGCAGTGTCCGGGCAAAAATTCGATTTTGAGATATTGTGCTTACCCGGGCCTATTTGCTACGCTGGATCCGAAAATGCATATTGGAGAGCGCGAAAACGGCGAAAAAGGGCTCTAGCGCAGGAGGAAAACAGCAAGTGGGCGGGGTCCTCCCCACTGTGAATTCACGCTCCCAGCTTCCGGAGCGATCTTCTCGCTTTCGGTTTCAAGTCAATCATTCGCCCTTGGCCGGTAGCGATGTTAGGACGGTAGCGGAATTGAGAAGTCCGCTCCGGAAGGTGGGAGTGTGAATTCACAGCGGGGAAGACCCCGTCCACTTGCTGTGCCTCTTTTTACCGTTTTCTCTCTCCCTTTCCAATGCGGATTTTCGGATTCAGCATGGCGATTAGGCCCGTATAAGCACAAAATCCCAAAATCGAGTTTTTGCCCGGATACTGCCTTTAAGTCACAGTATTCACTCATAGTATGCGCACTGAGTATCTAAAATCCACCAAATGGTCTGAACGTAAGGTACCCCGCAGGCCTCGTTGTCCTCGATAGTCTGTCTCGTCATGAAATCGTGCTAGACGATTACCAGGTGCTGGAGTCATAACGCTTTGGTTTACATGAATGCTCCAACAAAGGTTTTTTTTTTCAAGATGATTCACGCTCACCACTGCCTTCTTTGAATGACTATTATTTGAATTGATTTGAAATCTCTATATCATCTTCCTTTATCATCAAAGCTCATATCACTCTTGCAAGCAATTAGCCGTTGCGCTTTTTCGAACAAAAAAGAAAGGTGCTCAATAAAAAAGTGTTTCAGTACTTTGCAACCCGTCCAGGATGTTCACCTACTGCCTTATTGCTGGACTTGTGGGAAGCAAAGGAATGCGGATCACTGCGAGCTACACACGACTTGTTGCAAACATTGCGAGTGATGGGTCGCTCAGATGCAGTACTCTTAGTGGAAGAATATTTGTCACATTTCTCTTACAACAGCTAACTAATTTAGTACATTTTTGTCTCCCTTTGCAATGACTTGGCTTAAGCGCTCCTTAAATACTTCATGGCGACAGCAAATTGAGTTCACTCATGGTACAATAACATGTACAACTGCACACACGTCATAACCAGGCACAACCTGACGTCACCGCTTCTATTTTGGAAAAACTCTCATCATACGTTTCTATCAATGCATAGTCTGAAGGAAATGCGTCGTGTGAGTGTAGTTGTTCCCATTTCAGTAGGCACTTGATGGAAAAACTCAATTTGACCTGGAGCTCTACTGTTGCAGTAGAGCGCGGTTCCCTCGGCCTAAGTCTAATAAGGAAAAGATCTATAATCGAGTGGTTGAGATGAGATTATTTAGATTTCCTTGGAGGATCAAAAACATACTTCAAAGCAGTTTCCCTTATCTGCGGAGCGATCATGGACGAGGAGTTATGAGCATTTAGAGGAGAAGAAAATTCAATGTTCGCCTAGGATAAAATCAGTTTTTTTCTCTGATGGTTACCACTGCTCCATTGGGGGCTAGGGAAAATGTCACACTATTCTCATTATAACTGCACATTCAATTTTTCACTCTAACAAACGCTCTAACTCCCATGCGCTCCGCAGACAAGGAAGATAGATTCATGATTAAACTATGTACGGTACCACTTTGACTAATAATCCTTCCGTTGCCTTAACGGCAGTGTCCGTGTAAGAATTGATATTAAGATCTTGTGTTTACCTGGGCCTATTCGCTATGCTGCCGAATCACGTTGGAAAGCGCGGAAACGGCGAAATTAGGCCATGACCGCAGCAAGGGAACAGCAGATGGGCGGAGTCTTCCACTCTTTGAAGTCTCTCTTCCAGCTTCAGGAGCGGTTTTTTCGGTTCCGACTTTGAGTCACGCGTTGGCTAAGGGCGATGTTAGGGTGGCTGCGGAAGCGAGAAGATCGCTTCTGAAGCTGCAAGAGTGACTTCACAGAGGAAGGCCTCGCCCACCTGCTAAATCCCCTCTTGCGCTTTCGCGTCTCCAGTGTGGATTTTCGAATCAGCGTAGCGAATAGGCCCAGGTAAGCACAAAATCTCAAAATCGACTTCTTGCTCGGACACTGCCTTGAAAGGCTGGTGTACTCTACCACAGATTGCTAGCTGCCTGGATCTAACTTGTCCACCAAGTGTCTACTAAAGTGAGGGCGATTATAAATCATGTGTACAGCATGTGCAGTTGCACATAGAGATTTGTGAAGTGACTGACGCTTGCCGAATGAAGAAAGCGTTGTTCGGGTCTCATTCATCGATAGGCTTGCCAGCTCCTGAAATCTTCCACCAGGTACATCAAGCGTTCGCCCCATCTGCATAATAAGCCTACGCTCATAGCTTCAACAATTTTCTCAGGCTTTCAGTAAATCACACCGGTATATTTTGCATTATTTCGTAGCATTGTAAGTAATGTGATCTTTATGCATGAAGCGACACTCATTTGTTATTATTTCTCTCATCGCTCATTTTTCACAGGCTGCCTTAAGCGCAGCTGATCTTTCTACAGCTTGAACAAAGCAAACTACCACTGGTATCACTAATTTCTTGTTCACAATCTGCAGCTCACTTTTTCGTGCTGTATGTTGTTATTCGTAGAAAAACATTTTCGATGAAGCACGATGATGCTTTCACAGTGGAAGCGGGTGAATTTTATACTAGTGGTTGCGTCATTGTAAATAATAGATGTGATGTTGCTAGAAATATCAGCTGCTTTGTCGATATTCTTTTCTTATTCAGTATTCATCAGTCGGTGGTTATTGCAGTGTTTTGTGCAGAAGTTGTTTAAAAAATTAGTCATGCTATATAGTGCAACTAGCTGGCTTACCCGGCTCCGCCGTATCCGGACCAAACTTGGCACACATACACTTCGGGCCCCGGCGGGTGTCACAGTCCACTTTTCGTTATCGATCGATGTCGATTACCGATTTTTATCGATTTTTTTGCAGAGTTCACCTACAGGGCTAGGAGTTGGCACAGGGGGGGAAGTGAGCATGGGGATTCCGAATACAATATTAGTTTTCAGAATTATCGATTACTTTTATTGATTTTATCGATTTTTTGTAAATTTTGACATGCGAGGCTGGGATTTTGCACAGGGGGGTAATCGAGCATGCTGATTACGAACACAATATTAGTTTTCAGGATCGTCCATTACTTTTATCGATTTAATCGATTTTTTTGTAAAGTTTGACCTGCGGGGCTGGGAGTTTGCACAGGGGGGTAATCGAGCATGCAGATTACGAATACAATATTAGTTTTCAAGATCGTCCATTACTTTTATCGATTTTATCGATTTTTTGAAAATTTGAGCTAGGGGGCTGGAATTTGGCACAGGGGTGTAATCGAGCATGCTGATCACCCCCCTTGGGGATGATCAGCATGCTCGATTACCCCCCTGTGCCAACTCCCAGCCCCCTAGCTCAAACTTTGCAAAAAAATCGATAAAATCGATAAAAGTAATCGATAATCCCGAAAACCAATACTGTATTCGGAATCCCCATGCTCGATTACCCCCTGTGCGAACTCCCAGCCCCGTAGCTCAAACTTTGCAAAAAAATCGATAAAATCGATAAAAGTAATCGATAATCCTGAAAACCAATATTGTATTCGGAATCCCCATGCTCGATTACCCCCCTGTGCCAACTCCCAGCCCCGTAGCTCAAACTTTGCAAAAAAATCGATAAAATCGATAAAAGTAATCGATAATCCTGAAAACCATTATTGTATTCGGAATCCCCATGCTCGATTACCCCCCTGTGCCAACTCCCAGCCCCGTAGCTCAAACTTTGCAAAAAAATCGATAAAATCGATAAAAGTAATCGATAATCCTGAAAACCATTATTGTATTCGGAATCCCCATGCTCGATTACCCCCCTGTGCCAACTCCCAGCCCCGTAGGTGAACTCAGCAAAAAAATCCATAAAAATCGATAAAATCGATATCGATCGATGACGAAAAGTAGCCTATGACACCCGCCGGGGCCCGTAGTGTATGTGTGCCAAGTTTGGTCCGGATCGGTTCAGAAATGGAATTTTCTATTCGGAACATACGTACATACATACATACATACAGACAGACATACAAACAGACATTCAGCTTTATATATAAGATAATATGTTTTCGATTTGACGTTGTGTGCTGAAGCAACGATTTCTCCTTTTCTGACGTCCACAGAAGCAGCATTGATCAGCATTGACAACAATACAAAGGCGAGTGACTCGCAATGAACTTTCCAGATAAGATGGGAACGACTGGGGTGCTGCTCTAGTAGGTTTTTAGAATTTGTTGCAAGACATCCCGTCTGAAATTGCGAAATTTTGCGATTTCCCATTTGCTGTATCGATGTGTAATGACCTTCAAAGACATACTCAGAAACGATATTAACCACCATTAATACTTACAGAGCCCACAAAGCTGCAGAAAACTGCGTATACTTTTAGCTTTGACTTTGCTAGATTACATAAGAATCGGTTCTGCAGCTACTGAATTTACAATGGCTGCTAGAATTCCTTGATCCAATCTATCTCGAAATGGAAACTAGTTCTTCACGCAATGGAAACGTTTCTAGCTGTGAGCCTTTTCCATAAGTTGATGTCGAGTAAATCGTAAGCCGGATGCAGGATAAAAATTTGGTGAGGTATTCAGAATGTGTGGAAAAGGTATGAAGTGCATTTTCTCTGAATGCTGCCCTATTGTGATCTTCTCGTTTTTTGCATGGTCGGGGAGTTCTGAATGATATCCACGAAATTCCATAGTGGAGGACAATGGACTTTCAAACCTCACTTTATTCGTTGGCGGTAGAAAATGGTTGGAATCTGCTACCGCTCTCGTTATTCAAAATTTTTTTTATCCCATCGCAACCATGAGGCAAAGCAACGTAATGAAAATGGTTCAACCCTACCTGAGCTCTAGTTTGCGAAACAATCATGCGAAAAGTCCAATTAGAATGGGGCAAAATGGGAGTTACCTCCATTTTAGATGAACTTGAAAGTCACTCCCAGCAGCAAGGTGAGTTGGGTCTAAATCCATTTTTGACTTTACTGCCCATCTTCAGTTGCGATTTTTTGAGAATGTGTTCCCTAGTCCATTTTAGGGTAATAAGTGAAGGGAAAAGTTTTATCTTCTCTTTAGGAGAGCCACAAAAGTATTCTTCCAAACAGCATTGAAATGCTTTGAAAATAAAAAAAAAATTCTTTTTGAACCTAAACTCACTACCAAATCTACAGGCTCGCAAGTCATTCAAAAAATTCCATCTAAAGGTCATAAAAATTATTCACTTGCAAAATGAACAGAAAAAGAATGAAGACTTGTTCTCAAACAGATGAGTAAGTTAGATGGACCTAATTTAAGTGACTAACAAGGGAAGTCACTTAACTTAGGTCGGGCTTTTGAAATGAGGCACATATATTTAGAATCAGCTCGGAACGCTGATTCCAAATATGCTATCCTTAGCTGCGAAGCGTTTCTCTGAAGCGAGTTATGAACTTTTTTAGTATGTGCCATTGACATACAACTGAATATGGAAAGAAGGTCTTTAGATGAAAATCTGCCCAAAAAGTGGTGGAAAATCAAAATAACATCAAATTGAGTCATTTGGCTTGGATAGAGTATAATATGCATTTGAACCACTACCTAGATGATGGTACCGTAGCATGCCTAAGTCGGTCAGCACGCAAAATTTGCTCAGGAAAAAGCTCATAACTCGCTTCAGAGGAACGCTTCGCAGCTAAGGAAAGCAGATTTTAAATTAGCGTTTCAAGCTGATTCCAACCATATGTGTCTCATTTCAAAAGCCCGACCTAAGTTAAGTGACTTCCCTTGTAACGTATCCAATCATATCAGCTCGCAAAATTCCATGCGGCCACATATTAAACCTAGAATATAGACATGACTGGCAATATAAATTCTCCAGAATGAAAGTAATTTTCCAGCAAGTTTTTGATAATCAAGACTGCATAATGCTCGTGAGCTCTAGTTAGTCTTTCACAGGAGACGGTCAAGAGGCGCGATTTCTCTGGCTGTCACCAACTTAAAACCCCAGTTTTATGCTATGCGAGTCTGCAAAAAGCACCAGGTAAAGTGCATTAGCTTGCTATCTGTCTGAGGTTACCATTTGCTGAGTTTGGTGGCTTTTGCTGGGAAATGGACCGAAATATTTACGAATCTGTTCTCAACTGCATTTTCGTGGGTTTTTGACCTTCAAAATTGCTGTTTTGAATTGATTCCAAGGTATTAAGATTGAACAACCCATGCAACTATCTGATTTAACTTCTTCTAAAATCTG